AACGACTGGTGCTTACATATATGAGACCTAATTTGGGCACACTCTGAAATCAGGCATGTAATATTTCAATAATCCAGCAGAGGGCAGGCCTCTCAAACGTAAATGTTCCGTGCTGAGGTGAAAAGTGTACTGAAAGAGCCCGAGGTGCATAGAAGCTATTGGCTTTCAGAATCGAAATCGGTGATGCTGTTAAGAAATAAAAAGTACTCTAAACACCCTCCCCTCCCAACCCCCCACCACAATACAATATGTAGGGGAATGCCATCCAGTTGGGGTCATGTAGATCTGACAGGTCCTGTGAAGTAGGGACTAGGGCTTCTCTCCTATCTCTAGAATAAGGCAGTTATCCCTCCATGGGGGATATGTTTGCAAAGTCCTTTTGTGCACCAGGGATACATCCTGGCTCCACTGTCTGAGGTCTCTTAGGCTGCTCAGACCTTCTGGCTGAGACCCATATTCAGGGGGGTCCGAGTCAGACCCCTGTTGGCTTCCCAGCTATCAGTCTAGTGGCCCTTAGCTCCTCCTTGTTCAGGTAAGCTGTCTCTATGTACTTCTACCGCATGGTCTTGTCCTCTCCATCTGCTTCTGGGTTCTAGTTTGACTCAGTGTTTATGTATGGGTGTTTGCTCCTGTTTTCAACAGGCATTAGTTGAGGACTCCATGGAGAAGTTAGTTGTTGATCTCACTCCTGAGGGTGTTTAGAGTGCATGGGAGAGGGTAGAGAGGGCAAAAGGGAGGGAAGGACGGAGGGAGGACTTGGGGGGAGGGAGGGAGGGAGGGAGAGGGAACTGGGATCGACATGTAAAATAATAATAAAAAAAAACAAAAAACAAAAAAAAAAAACGCTTTGACTCCAAAATTTAAGTTGAAGAACAAGTTACTGGGGAAAAGTATTTCTATTTTTGTTTCCACAGAAAATGAAAAGATGTGGATTCCTTCCAGACTAATGTGGTTTGATCACACCAGACCGCCTGAAACAGAGTACAAGCTGATCCTACATTCCAAACAGCTGGACAAAACAGCCCTACAGACTACAGCTAGGATATCTGAATCTTCTTCGAATCCCCCAAGACAGCGCCCCTTACCAGCAGGAAGTAGTTTGGAAAGAACGACGCCCAAATTCCCAAATATTGTGTATAAATGTTTGTTTTCATTTAATTGGACTTTGTTATATAAAATTAAATAAAAAATACTCTATATGCATAAAAAAAAAGAAATAAAAAGTAAAGGGAACTGGGATCGATATGTAAAATAAAAAGAAATGTAAAAAAAAGTAGATGAAGCCTCTTGGATGACAATTGGGCTATGAACCAATCTGGTATAGGAGATGGCTAATTGCTAGGACTCTTAGCTAGGGTCATCCTTGTAGATTCCTGGGAGTTTCCCTTGCACTGGGTTTTTACCTGACCTGGAAATGCCCCCCCCCCCTTTGCCAGTAATCTCTATTAGTACTCCCCTCCCCCAAACAAACAAACTGAGCACTCATGTTCCCATCCCTACCCACCCTCAGTCTACTCACGAAATCTCCCCCATTTCCCCTAATTGGCATCATCTCTCCTTTTTACCTAGTCTCTCTAGGTTTGTGGATTGTAGCATGGTTATCCTTTATTTTACAGTAGACAAGAGCCTAATCTTGTAGAGGAATCTTTGGGCTTTGCTTTGTTAGCTGCCAAGGTGTTTCTTAGCATGGGGGTTCTTGGAACTATTGTAATTTCTCAAGGGATTTTAACCTCCAGGGCCCAGAAGAGGGCAAGAAAGACTCTTGCTGTCTTCCTTAGCCTCTGGCTTTCCCTTCACTCTGAGTAGAATGCTTGTTTATAGGAACCAGGCTTCCTATAGGAATGAGAAGCTGTGACACTCAGCATCCTATAGGCCTAAACCTCATCCTGCCTTGCCCTGAACATAATACTCCAAGCCTGGTGTTCCTACAGTGGGAAAACCCCACCCTGAGTGGCTGCAGCATCCACACATGCATGCACTTGATGCTGAGTTGTCATCGCTCCTGTGTGTGTGTGTGTGTGTGTGTGTGTGTGTGTGTGTGTGTTATGAGTAGTTTTTTCCTGCTGGTCTGCCTGGTCTCAGAGCCACACCAGCCCCAAATAACACACTGAGAAACTGTATTAGATATAATGCTATTGGTTTGTTATTAGCATTTCTTATTTGCTAGCTCTGTCTTAAATATTAACCTATTTCTATTAATCTAAGTATTTCCACATGGTCTCATCTTACTGGAGAGAGGGGCTGGTGGTTCTGCTCTCTGGATCCTCCATGTTGAATCTCCTGCTACCTCTCCCTGAATTCTCCTTGTCTCTTTGTCCAGCCTGTCTTGCTTTCCTACTGGCCAGCAGTGCTCTATTCATTAACCAATAATGGAAACATATTTACAAAATGACATCTCCCATCGCATGCATGTGCTTGTGTGTGTGTGTGTGTGTGTGTGTGTGTGTGTGTGTTGGGTTTTTTTAGATAAGGTTTCTCTGTTTAACAGTCCTGGCACTCATTTTGTAGACAAGATTGGCCTCAAACTCACAGAGATCCACCTGCCTCTGCCCCCCAAGTGCTAGGATTGAAGGTGTATGTCACCACTGCCTCGAAGCTACCCTATTTTTGGTCCCAGGGGATTTCCTGAATTTTTTCCAGCATCCAACCCTACCATAAAGGGCACCTATTTTATTTACCACTGAAAATGATAAGTTTTAGGGGTTGCCTTGGTGACTTCTATTTCTGGAAGCAAAAGTTAGTCTGAAAAATTAGTGATAAATATCTTAAAGGTTATGACCACATTTAGAAGGCACTTGGAAGATTTGGAGCAGCAGGGATAAGTTCTGCATTAAAGCAAGGAGGAGGCTCTTGTCCCATGGAGAGATAAAATGAGGAAAATCAGGGAGGGGGCAGGGTGACACTGTGATGCCACCAAGGAGAGTCTCACTTTGGAATTCTAAGGTGGAAAGAATTCAAAGGAACATGGTACTTGCATCACAATATGTCTACTTTGGCCTGTGTTGGGAGGCCATGGGGAAACAATGCTTCCAAAATATCTTCCCATTGGAGGAGTTACTAGGCTTCTGTAAAGAGGACTCCAGCTGGTTAGCAATCCCCCAGGATTCCTTTGGATGCCTTGTCACTGGGGAACAAGAATGAGGCAGAGCTGTTGGAGCCCACAGAATGCACACATCTGAAGAGAGCAATAGGCTCCCTCTCTGCACATTCTGGTCACAATGCTCACAATGACTCTGCAGTTAAAGGAGTTCCTCTTACATACATGTTTCCTTTACTCAGGAGAAAACATTTGTTAATTAAGTGCACACATTTAATTTTTCTTTAATTTAAATGTGGCATTTAAAATTTTAATTTAAAAACTTAAAACACACATATGAATGTATGAATAATACTAATAACACAAAGTACCTAAGAAAATTCTGCTTTTATGGAGATATCTACATGTGCATGTCATAGTTGAATGAAAAAAAAAAGAAACAGGAAAGGACATGCGTGCTCCTAGGTGTGGTGATGGAGAATGTTTATTACAGATATGTGGGAGAACATAGCCAGAGGCAGGGACAACTAGGAGAGTCCAGAGTGGACCTGACCAGGCTGACCTGGGCCATATGAGGAGAGTGAGCGGGGAAGGGAGAAAGGGAACCAGGTGCAGCAACCAGGAGGCCAAAGGTACAAAGTGGGGCAGGTAATCAAAATGTCTGGATTGTACAGGGAAGACCCTCTGGGGAAAAGGCAGCCCAACTCCTAGGCTGGAGCATTCAGGGTAGAGGTGAGGGTATTCCAGTCATACCCTGTAACAGGAAGGGACTGTGTTTGTACCAATATATTTTTCATTTTTTATGTAATTAAAATACAATTACATATTTTTTCCCCTTTCTTCCCCCCTTCTGCCCCTTGTTTCCCTCTCCAAACTCTTTATTGTTGTTACACAAAGATATAAATAGAAAGTTTTATAACTATGACATGCTGGTTTCATTCAGTATTGCTTGCATGTATATGTTTCCAGGACTAGCCACTTGGAATAAGATAGCTGTTTTAGGGTTTCTATTGCTGTGATGAAACACCATGACAAAGGGGCAAACTGCACGGGTGGGGGTGTGGGGGGAAGGGTTTATTTAGCTTACACATCCATATCACTGTTCATCATCAAAGGAAGTTGGACAGAAACTCAAGCAGGGCAGGATCCTGGAGGCAGGAGCTGATGCAGAGGCCATGGAGGGATGCTGCTTACTGGCTGTCTTCCTATTGCTTCCCCAGCGTGATTTGTTATAGAACCCAAGACCACCAGCCCACACAAATCATTAACCAAAAAAGAAAAAAAAAAAAAAAAGAAAAGAAAAGAAAAGAAAAAGAAAAGAAAAGAAAAATGCCTTACAGCTGAATATTACAATGGCATTTTCTTAACTGAAGTTTTTGGGTTTTCAGATCACTGTAGCTTATGTCAAGTTGTCATAGCCTAGCCAGCACAATAACCAATCAAAATGCTCATCCCTAGGAAAATCAATTATTTTCTCAGTGGTTAATTGCTTGCAGCTCTTCAATAAGACATAAACTTGACAGCAAACAAATCTCTAGCAAGTATGTAAACAGAGATTAAACAACTCATCATTGAATGAGAAATGGGTCACGGAAGAAACCATGAAAGAAATAAGACATTCCCTGGAACTAAATGGAAATGAAAACACAATACAAGGAAACTTCTTTAACTGCTCCTAGGTCTACATGGAGTGGGTGGGTGGTCAGAGCCTCATGCGAGGGAATGCTAAGTGGGCTTTGTGGCTGTTTTTTGTCTCAGATTACATGCAAATTGAGCACCTTCCTTGCTAACACACCGGACAGCACTCCAAAGTGAATGTGCGCTCATACGTGGCACGAGCCTAGGCACCCGCTTACTTGTGTTTACCAGCGTTGCTTGGCGACCGAGCGTTACCAACTGCATCCTTGTCTTGCAGTTGACAACTACTAGATCACCACGGAGTGTCCCTACTGGGACTTTGTGGCAAGACTTGGCTCTGAATTTCCTTCGATAGTCTAACCTTTAGGAGCTGGCTTACTATAAATTTTGGTTCTGGGTTCGGGAGAGGCCATCTTGGCATAATCTCTTATTTTGAGCTGGGGATGCCGGAGAAGCTTTGCGGGAAGGAAGAAGCCTGTGAAGCAGACATTTACCATGGAGATGCTCTTTCCCAAAAAGGAAAGGACGCCCCTGGGATTCTGTGATGGCCTGGATAAGATCTTCGTGGGCTTTGGGAACAAGGACGAGAGAGGCTGTCAGCCGCCCAAATACCACGCCAGCTATGCACCTTATTATCCTATCCACAAGGCTGCAAGCGTGGGTGACATAGACACTGTGAAGAGCTTTGTCGAACGGGGAGCTTTTGCCATGGAACAAATAGACTGGAAGTACAGGTAAAAGGGGCTGGAACCGTGGGAGAGCGGAAAGGTACCTCGGAGGGAGGCACAGTAACGGGGGAGAAGGGCAGCTTCCTGTGTGAGCTGAGAAAAGAGAAGCACCTGTCATCCATTTTATATGGTGTACATCTGGGAGGGGTGTAACACCCAACTGGTCCTCATTAACAGCGAAACAAATCAAGATGAGTGCTTCCTGCCCTTGAAAATTCTCCTTTCAGAGCACTTACTGGCCTCTTCAAGGATTTCAACAAAATTGTGTAATGCAGCTTTAGTGTATCCATTGGGAGAAAACCATAATGTCGTATGTGTTGCGGAAAAGTACATAAGAGAAAACTCTATTATGTGTCAACTTCCCACCCAAAAGGCTTTCTTTTAAATAAAAGCTGATATCCACTATGCCAGTGTATTCTCCTGTATCCATATGTGTGCAGGAATGTACATTATTTACTGAGAGAATTTACAAGAGAAGACGGTTTGTGTTCTCATAGTCACTTATCTACTTTAGTTATGGGTGCCATGTTCACTTCATAATTTGCTGTACTTGGCGCCTCCTCTCTCACTAGTCTACACACTCCTGAAGGGTTATTCAGCATCTTGTTAGTAAGCCAGGCGTGTTGATGATTTGATGAAGAGTCCTGGTTTTCCTACAAGTGTTTCCACACCATATGGCTCGCTAGCACCTTTGAAACAAAACTCATCTTGACCTTTCAGTTTTGTCCCGCCTTCAGGTCACCACAATTCGCCAGTCCTCCCTTGGCAGATGTGTGGATTTCCCCTCTCCCATGACTGCTCTCTCTTGCTCTCAGTGTTCTCTGCATTGGAGCCCTAAGAGGAGCAGGTCCCACGAGCCATACTAGTTCTCATCAGGACTGTGGCACCTGAAGCTGGGTGCCCCTTAATGCCATATGGTACTTTGTTCAGAAGGATCCCAACAGGATGCCTTGACCTTGGCTCCTGGCTGTCAACGGGGGGAGAATCTATATCCTAAAACACAAGCAGCTCGCATTAGGGGAATATTGACTCCAGTGAAATTGTCTGCTCCTTGCAATAAGAGGCAATATAATGACTTTTCTTTAGAAGAACATCAAATTTTAAAGTACAGAGTCCTTAAATGATATCTGCTGATTATATTTGCATGTGTGAGTCTTGAGAAAATTTAAAGTTCATAAAAGTCCCTTCTGTACTCTCAGGACTGCCCTGCATTTTGCCTGTGTCTATGGTCATCCAGAGGTGGTGACCTTCCTGGTGGAGAGCAGCTGCGAGATTAGTCCCAAGGATATTAAAGATGCCACACCTCTAATTAAGGTATATTAAAGCCACCGATTTCAGATGATAAGAATTTGAAATACATTTTTACATTAAAAAAATGAAGCTATATCATTTAGTGTAACTAAATACTGAATCCTGTGGAATGCTGAACATGAGTTCTTTAACAATCTGTGTGTTGCCACCACATCCACAGGCTGCACAGTGTAGACAAACGGAATGCCTTGATATTCTCCTGAAGCATGGTGCTGACCCAAATATTATGGACTGCCGTGACAACACTGCTCTTCACTATGCTGTCTACAATGGGGATGTCGAAACAGCTGCTAAGCTGCTTGAATACAAGGCAAACATTGAAGCAATAAATGAGGTATACACCACCCACCTGTAATTTTCATGTATTTGAAATGCACAGATTTTTAACAGCGATGTGTATGTAGAATCAGTATTCTGTCCTTTCAAAGCTCTAGTCCTCCACTGCAAATGTTTTGAAATGACTCAACCATTGAAAATGCCACCTTAAACTGGTACTTTTAAAGAAATGTTAAACAGTGCAGCTTTTTTGAATGCATTTTTGACAAATATTTGTCAAAGCAATGAATTTGCTAAAGCTTCAGTTTGTTTTGTTTTAAAACTGACAGAAGCTTTTCCTTGACTAGTTAAATGTGACACCCAACGTGAACATATGCTTTTGATATTAACTTTCTCTTAAATGAGGAAGAAATGTTTTATAACAAATGGGTATCTGAGTGCTACAGACAAGTATGTCATTGTGACCAAGTTGTGAGTAGTAAAGCCAAAGAAGGAAACATAGAAAGGGAAGTTGATGAGACATTATCAGGCAAACCTTGGAATTCAGTAATTGAGGGGAAAATACCAAGAAACCTTGATTTTCTTGAAGAAATGATTCACTTTATGTTTACTCTGTGCTCTTCAGTTTGGTGATAATGATTCCTAATTAGAGAACATTAGTAGTTAACAAGCATGCCCAGAGGTAAACTTTGGTAGGGCTCTGAAGAACCCTGTCAATGCATAGGCAGCAATTACACAGAAAATAATAAACAACCAAACAAAATACCAAAAAAAAAAAAAAAAAAAAAAAAAAAAAAAAGCAAGGGAAAATTAAGTGATTTGCCATGAAATGACTCTTATCTGATAGAAATCGCAACTTGGATAAGAGCCTAAAGTCAAGTCTGCTCTCAGATCTAAGATGCTTTACTGGGACTTGGGAGATTTCCATACTGCATATAATCCAGTTATACTTTGAAATTTCTATTGCTGCTTCTGCCTGTACCTTGCAAATGAAATGGTATTTTCTGCAAAGGTGATATTTGTCCGTTTCTCTCTTTTGGCCAAGAGAGAATCAGCATAACTAATAAGACCCAGGCATAAGTATTTAAAACCATTTCCTTCATGTGGTGGTGAGGATGAGGAAAGATGCCCTCCCCCCTTGTCCCTGCCACCTGTGGTGGGCGAGGGAGCTGACCCTCCCCGTTACCTGCTATAGCATTTACAAGCAGACCCTGAACAGCACACTAGAACTGATCCTATTGATGGGGATGTGGGAGCTGGTTAACCGGCCCTGAGAACTTGAGCATGGGAGAGCTAGCTCTGCTCCTCATCTGCCTTGTGGTGGTGTGAGCAGGTGAAAGATGCTCCCCGTCACCCCTGGCAGCCTGTGGCAGGTGGGAGAGCTGACTCTGAGGTCCTGAGAATGGGAGAGCTGTCCCTGCTCCTCACCAGCTGAAGCACTGGGGAGAGCGATCCCTGCTCCTGCCCTGGGTAACAGTAGAGTTGGACCTGAAGGTGTAGGTGTGGGGCAGCCAACCCTGAGGGCATGAAAGCAAGAGAACTGGCCTGCCCCTTGCTCATCCTTAGCTGGAGCAATGTTGGAGAGTTCACCTTGCTGGTGAAGACAAGGAGGAGGGGAGCTGGTGGGCTGACCAACCTTGCATCTGCTCAGGCCCCAAACCAGGGTTATGAGATGGCCCACCCAAATATCCACCCCATCTATGCATCTGTGATCTTTGGAGCATGTGAAGGGGGTGGTCCTGCAGACCCAAAGCTTCAGGAGCTCCATGACACAGGGCAATAACAAGATATCCAAGAGGAGTTCCAGTGAGGGCTCAGTATCCACAGTGTATCTGAAACCCGAGGCCGTGAACCAGAACATTGACTCTTTGTAATGAACACTTGCAAGTAAAGATATGTGGTCAAAAGAGCACATTGTATGACTCACTCTGTCATGCTACAGCTTCCATGACAAGATTTATTTTTCCTGTTTTAATTTTTTCTTTCTTTCTTTTTTCCTCTTAAGTTTTATTTTATTTTGTTCAGGGTGGGGAGGGGGATATGGTGGTGGTGGTTGGTTTACATGGGCAGATGGGAAGGGAAATGAATGGGATCAAGATGCATGATGTGAGAGACCCAAAGAATAAATAAAAAGGAAGTTCAAAAACAATGTTTCCTTCAGGATCTTTAGTTCCTAGAAAAAAATTTTGCATTTTTGCATGCAAAATGTGAGTCATACCCACAATAAAGATTTTTTTTCCTCCAAAGGGCCAAGAACACATTGGAGTCCAATATAAAGAGTGTTCTCTAATAGTTGAATCCACAGTTAAATTCCAGGAGATCCTTTTTATTAAATTTTATTTTAATTAAAAATTAGTTGTGTGTGTGTGTGTTGTCTGCATGTATGTAAATATAGAACATGTATGGCATGCAGCACCCACAAGGGCCAGAAGAGGTTATCAGATCTCCTGAAATGAATTATGGATGCTTTCAGCCACTATGTGGGTGCTGGGACTGGGACACAGGTCCTCTAGAAGAGCAGATGGTGCTCTTAACCACTGAGCATCTATCTCTCCAGCCCAAGAGCGTTCTTAAAAAACTGTGTACTTCAAGTTGCTCTCAGGTAACCAAGTCCAGACTTCTCTGAGCTCATTTATTGTCTGCCACGTGTGATGAAAGTGTCCCTGTTGTCTGAGGCCCACAAGTGATCCTGTTTGCTAGGGACCCCTTCTTGCTACCAGATGTCATATACTTGATCTAAATGTGTGTTTCATGAACAGTTGCTTTGTGGTGTTTAGCAATAGAGATTTTAAACTTTCAAAACAGTTTGTAAGGATATGGTCTATATCTTCTCCCTGTTAGTCTCTTAGAAATGAGATTGAATTTTAGAATTTATAAGTTGTTATTTTAAAGTCTAAAGCATACTCAAATTGAAATGCCTGTATATACTATTAGGTTAATGGTCATTAATTCCAAAAGGTTTATGGCAATTCCAAAAAGAATTAACTTTTTGTACCAATGAAGATAAACTAGTGGCTTTCCTCATCATAAAAGAAATATGTAGGCTGGAGAGATAGCTCAACAGTTAAGAACACTGGCTGCTCTTCCCAAAGTCCTGAGTTCAATTCCCAGCAATCACATGAGGGCTCACAGGTTCACAAACATCTCATAATGAGATCTGGTGCACTATTCTGGAAAGCAGGCATACATGTATACAGAATACTGTATACATAATAGGTAATGGGATGGGAGGGGGGTTGAGGGCTCTGAGAGGGAGGGAGAGAGAGGGAACTGGGATCGATATGTAAAATAATAAATAATAATAAAAATGTAAATAAATTAAAAGAAGAGATATGTATATGTCAGTTTTAGAATTATTATTGATGAAACCATTGCCTTTTTACACCTGACTTGTGTTTACTTAAAAAAACAGCTTGAAGTAGTAATGAAACCGAAACCAGAATAAAAATAGATTTAAAATAGCTTATAAACAAGGCATAGCTTCACAGATCCTAGCATCATAACCCTTAGAAGACTGACAGAGGAAAACCATGAATGTGGGAAGCTAGCCTGGGATATGTAGTGAAAGTCTGTCTCAAAAAGCAGAGGTCACTGCAACAAACCCCCATAAAACCCAAAGTAGCTGTGCTTCAGTCATGAGATCATCATCATCATTTTGGAACTCATTATCCAGACCACACTGGCCTTGAACACGTGGAGATCCACCTGCCTCTGCCTCCCAAGTGTGTGCCATGGCACCAAGCTTGAGACAATTATCAAAACTGAGAATGAAACTTCCTATTAAATTCTCTATAGTTAAATAAGACTCTTATTTTATAATGAGAGCAACCTAAGTTCTCTTGAAGCCCGTTTCCTAGGTGACTTGCTGTGGAATAATCCTTCTTTATGCTGTGAATATGTGTTCTCTCATTGGTTAATAAAGAAATGACAGTCAAGCTGGGCCTTTAATCCCGGCATTCAGGAGGCAGAGGCAGGTGGATCTCTGTGAGTTCAAGCCCCAGCCTGGTATACAAAGTGAGTTCCAGGATAGCCAGGGCTGTTATACAGAGAAACCCTGTCTCAAAAAACAGTACAAAACGAAAGCTGACAGGCAGGTATCCAGGCAGAAAGTTAGGTGGTTAAGCCAAACTGAGAATGATGGACAAAAGGAAGGTGGAGTCAGGAGGTGCCAGCCAGCCACCTGAGGAAGCAGGGCGTGTAGAAAATGAGGTAATAAGACATGAGTCATGTGTCAAAGTATAGATAGAAATATGGGTTCAGTTAAGTGTAACAGTTAGTTACAAATCTGAGTATCAGCAGAGCATTTGTAATTTATATTAAGCCTCTGAGTGGTTATTTGGGAAGTGGCTGTGGCAAAGGAAAACTCCATTTACAGTGACTGATAAAGCTCTGGTACCACACGTAAAAGGGAATTAACAAGTTTCTCTGTAGTTACATGAAACCCCTGCTGCACCATAATTCTCAACACTGTGTTCCTTGAACTCTACATTCTTAAATGCTAATGTCTGCAATAAAAGGCAGTTTAAAAAGTAGAAATTATGAAAATGAAAAGAGATTTCTCTGATGGAGAGCCTGTGCTGCTGCTGCTGCTGCTGCTTCTCCTTTTCCTCCTCCTCTTCCTCCTCCTCCTGCTCCTCCTGTCACACTCCCAGACAGGTGCAATCCTTTTGCTGGGGAATGGAATGCCTGGAAAAGAGATCTTTCCTTGTAATGCAGGTAGAAATAAAATGAAGATGGGGGAATTTAGATTGTTTGCCAGCAACAATACAGAAAGTTTTTGCTACTGTATTTTTTGAAATAAAGATAGAGTCAAGAAACTTTTGCTTAGATGGGAGCAATCATATGACCCCAAAATACCATGATACATGTCACCGGAAATCTTTGTGTGGATTTGTAATGAGTATATGTGCTCATTCTAGGAAGGGAGATTTCATGGAAAAGGAAGAGCACACATGGAAGTCAATGGGTTGAGGAAGAATGCCTAGTCATTTATTGTCAGCATGTTCAAGGAATTTGTCAATTTGCAATTCATCACTGGTTTTGTTTTGACAGAACAAGATCACACCACTTTTGCTTGCTCTGAAACAAAACAAGGAGAAGATGGCAGAGTTCTTAATCAACAACGGGGCAAATGAAAAAACGTGTGATTTTCTGGGAAGGTAAAATATTTCTGGTACTAACAAAGTTGGCAACTTTGGTGCTGTAACTATCACCCAAGCCATGATGTTAAGTTCATAGGATGAAGAATTTAACTTTTACTTATGGAAATAACATTAACCTAGACCGTCAGTTTGGTACAAATGAAATTATTCACTGTGAACAACAAAAAGACTACATACAACAGGGTCTATATTTCCTGATAATGTAAAACGATGTTGATTAATTGTATTGCAACTCATTCATCAGGTAACTTATTTGGCTAAAAGGTCTCACATTTTGCTTGCTTTTAAGATATTAAGTTTAATTTTTGGATGGCACTATGACACTTATTCTCTATAGTATTTGCCACCCATTCTGCTTATGTACTGCTTCCTTAAAATTGAAAATCTGCTGGATGGCTGTTTATATTTCTTTGCAAAATATTGTTTGGTTATCCCTCAATAACTATTAATTTCTACTACTACATGGTACACTACTTTCTCTATTTTTTCCCTCTGAATTTATTTTGAAACTTTATGACTTGGCATGGTCAAAAGAATGAAAAACTACTTTTATTTAATAAGTTTGGGTGAGTAAAAATCATACTTGGGTGATAAGAAATCTCAATATTCACACAAGACTGAACTTAATTCCAACTTCACACTTCCTGAATGTACAACCTTAGGAATGTTACATAGCAGTAGATTATTTCCTGATTCAAAAACCAGGGTTGTGTCAGTTCATGTTATGTGTTACATACTATATAGTTCTAGCACATGGTTATCTCCTACATACATTGTTACTACCATTTTTATTAGAATTATTTATTTTCTAGTACTATTAGCATGTTAATCATGCAAAAATAAGCTTTTCTCCTCTAATCTTCAGCTGTTTTTATTACAGCAAATTATGTCAGACTGGGGGAAAAGCAAACAATCCTCCACTTAAATATTCTCCTACTTTGATAAATAGCCTCAGTATTTGTGAATGAAAAGACATGGAACTAAAAATTCTACTACATAATTCTATAGTAGGAGAATGGGCTTCCTGTTTATTTCTTCCCAATTTGTACTGAAGATAATTTACAGGACAAATATTTGAGCTCCCAAGATATTCATGCCTGTAAGTAAATAGATGGTCAATTCTATATACACAGGCAATATTTCAGGCTGGTAAAACACATTCAGTGATGTGTTTAACAACTTTATTCAAGTACCTAACAGCCAGGCTTTACCTCTGCTCTTTTAGAAGCACCCTTATGTATGCTGTAAGGTGTGGGTCAGAACTTATCATCAAGCTGCTTCTTCAAAGAGATATCGATACCTTTAAGCAAGATGCCTTTGGATGGACAGCTAAACGTTATGCTGTTGAAAGTAAAAGCAAAGTGTAAGTGTTCACGTTTACTCAATTAACATTAAATGGAAATGCAAAGTAATTACAAATACAATATCTTCTATATTTAGTTTTTGTTGTTTTGGAATGGCAGTGACACAGTTCACCCCATCATCCAGAAACTAACCAAAACTGGGAATGAATTAGAAATAGCAATGGATGCAGGATTCATCTCCAAATTTTTATTTTGGTGTGTAGTGTTTTGGGGGTGGATGCTGACAATTGAACCTGAGATCACATGATTTAAGCAAGAATTTAATCCAAGGACTATATTACTATCTCTTAGGTTAGAACTTTTTAAACCATGTAGGTGGAGAAAGTTTGTAAAATCCTAATCCTGAGAATGCATATTGATACCCACCCAGAGCTGAGCCATGTTGGATCTATGGACAACATCATCTGAAGGAAACACACACATACATAGCAAAAGCACTTGTAGTCACAGAACTCCATGGACATCAGCTTCCAATACATGTCAATCCTTTATGCCAAGGCCATATAATCCCTGTAGGTTGGATGCTTTCTAGCTGCTGCTGATGCCTTTTCGATAATAGTGTGCCCCCACTTTTACATCTAGAGAGATAGGGCCAATGGGGCATTTGGAGATGAAGCTGCTTTACTTCCCTCATCTTCAGGTTAAACCCTGGTACTGTCTCTGGGTCTTTTAATTCATGCAACAAGATCTTGCAAGGAATACATATTGAACATTATTTGGGAGTCTAAAACAGTTTAACCTTAAGAGACAAATGTTCTTGTTGCTTTTCTATTTGTCATCCATACTTTATATTATTTAATCGTATCAGCCTTATATACAAAAGCAGTTATGCCATTATATTTTTAGAGGAAGATATTAAGCCTAGTAGAAATAACATGTTGAAGAACAAGCAACTATTGGCTATAAATGTAAGATTTCTTCTGAGTTCAGGACACTTTCCATTATGCTGAGAAAACTTAGTTTATGTGTGGAGTTGGCTTGCTTTTGATTCAAAACCATTCTATCTCATTTTCCTTGTTTTGTTATTTGCTTAATAAAACACAGAATCCACATGTTTGTAGCATACATTTAAAAGTTCTGATAGTACATGGATAATGCCTGAAATACTCCTCTGAGTATAATGTGCATGTCAGCATTGAAATAGTAAATTGACTTGCCATTCTTTTGGTCCCTCACAGTAGGAAACTACTGATCGACCATGATGAAGAGGAACTGAGACAAACATGCTCAGGTGAGACTTCTGATAGAGAATTACCTTTGGTTTCCCAACTAGAAGAAAGATATGAAAATCTGAAACTAAATGTAAATTGTATTGCCATTTCTCTTAACTTGTTTTCTAAGAGTCTAGAGATCAGAATCCTTTAAGAAAAAAGTTATATGATACAAAAAACCTTGTGTAAAGTTGTCTTTACTTAATTTCTTTGAAGTTTGTTTATCATTATATAGATAGAAAATTACTTTAAAATTTCATGACTATCACATTAAAATCGTTAGAAAATAGATTTTCTAGGAAATATTTGAATGAACATACTGAATTTAGTAAGTGAATAGTATGTGTGATATCATATTCACTATCAGCATTAAGATGTATTCACTTGGACTCATAGATAGTTCTTCATGGAGATCATATTTTTTTTCTATTAACCAACTTGTTCACACGGACATATTCACACTTTCTGTATTCTTTGTTCATTGGGAACAAAATCACACTTCTAAATCGTGCACATTATTATTTACTCTGTGTTCCTCACACATGGCATGAAAGCAGGACAGCATACAAATAGGAGGAGGGAGGGGACAAGCAGAGGAAGACTCAGGGGGATGGGGAAGGGCAAAGTGAAAGGAAGAACAAGAAGATCAAGAGAGCTGTATCATAAGATGTCAAGACCAAACTCAACTACTTTCCTATTAACTTTAAAACTGACAAAATATGTATTCATATTTTCTATTAGTGTACTTCTGCCCTGACACCGTCCTTACTTGTAATCAGTTTCAGAACCAAGTTCTAGCAGCCCCCAAAGAGCTCTTCTCAGGCACCCATTCCCACAGGAATATTAAGATTTCCAACCAGTGTGAAAATCAGAGACATATTCAGTCAATATGCAGTCAATGTACATATTTGGAAGAGGAGCACATAAAGGAATACCAAGCTCACTTTCAGGGTCAGAATTGAGGCAGACGGAAGAGGTTGCATAATTCAGAAGTCATAGTCAAGGTGTGTCTGAAGGACACTGTGCCAAGTTCCAATCTGAAAAGTGATCTGAAAAGAATCCTTGTTGGTTGAGGGGACAAGCTGCTTCTCAGGGCAAGATCACGCATGTTCCAGGGACAGCCTTGTCACCATGGATTGCTACCTGTCTCAGGGAACAGTTTTATCATGCAAGGTATGAGTCTTTAGGCATCATTTGAGATCCTTGAGTGGGAGACTGTAAAAAGTGCTAATAAGCTGTCTCAGTTAGTCTTTGTGAGTTCAACCCTGAAGAGGAATGATATGGGATAGGCATCACTATGTTTTAGGAGGACAGTTGTTAATGTTTAATATGCCTGTGTGCCAAGGTTGGTACAGCAACAAAGGAGAAAGATTTCCAATGGAGAGAAGACTGAGGCTTTTTCACATATTCAGCTACATTGCAGGATCAAATTAGGTACTACGGCTTTTTAGACAGTGTCTAAGCACCCATTGCTGCTTGATGAGCTACCAAATTAATAACCTACAGACATGAGAATTCTGCCCATTCCATCTTTGTGAATGCTCATCCCCATCACTATCTACATGGATTGATTGTATTTCCTTCTGCTTTGTAGAGATCACCAGGAAAAATGCTTGCTCAATGGTAATGACCTTTATAATTTTCTTGAATTACTCAGTAGATACTGTATGAAGAATTTAACACTTAACAATTACTGTGTTTCAAAGCCCTTCCTGCCTACCACAGAAGTGAAAACCTCTCTTCAAAGCGAAGGAGTGGAAAAGACAGAAGCAAAACCATCAAAGCCAGGTAAAATTTCCAGTTTAAGTTATTTGAAAAGAAGTAGGTGAAATAGCAACACTTCCAGGCTTCCCATCCTCAATGTTATCTCCACCCATGAGGAGACAGTGTAAATCGTCACCAACAAAGAGATGGTCATTTCAGGCATCAATATTTCAGAAGAAGGTCTTCATTAGTGCATGCAAGAGATGCTGACAAATTGGAGTTTTGACTTAATTTTTATCCTTTCTTGTTTTAATACTTTAGATTTACCAGTTTGGAATCTCTGTCCTTCATAAACATTTAAAGAGATCAGTCAGAAGCCTTTTTAGGTTTCCCCACGGTTTAAAACTGCCGGTAGTGTGGGACAAATGAGAACAAAGCTTAACGCCAATTGTGTGTGATTGTCCCAGCAGGAAGCATTACTTTCCATGATCACCTAAAAAAATAAATAAATAAATAAATAAATAAATAAATAAATAAATAAATAAATAAATAAAAATAAATGCTGGAGGTGCAGGTGCTGTAATACAACCCATGATCCCAAATTGTGCGAAATCAGGCAAAAGATACCTCAAACGTAGAAGTTGTGGGTTAGCCTTCTTACATAGCAAGAGACCCTGTATTATAAACAACAACAAACCCATTTCAACTCTACCAGGGTACTAGGTCTTCTATTTCTGATTCCAGCCATTTACTAGTCAATTTAATGATCTCATCAGCTATGCATTTGATCATAGAATATAGCGTTCTATAACTAGTTAAAATGCATAAAATCAAATCAATGCACTTCCTAATGTCCTGTTTATGATTACATGTTCCTTTTCTCTTTAGCCATTTTTTAAAAATTCATTTAAAAGGTCTAACCATTTAATGTGGTGTATTTTGATGATGCCCATCTCATTATTCTTCCATCCTTCCCTGCCTCCTCCTGCTTCTTGTCCTGCCACTGCTCTTACTTGTAACTGGTTTCGGAGAAAAACCTCCAGAAGCCCCAAAGAGCCATATGTAGCCACCCTTCCCAATAGGAAAATTAATGTTTCAAGTGAGTGTGGAAATCAGAGAAATATTCATACAGTGTACGCCTTGGGGAGAGGGCCACATAAAGGAATTCAGGTGTCTAGGGCTCAACTTTAGGGTCCTGGGACAGATTTACATACAGATAATGTCAGTAGTGAGATAGGCTGTATAACTCAGGAGTCATGGTCAGTGTGTGATGGGGATGGACACTGTGCCTGTTCTGATTCTGAAGAGAATCCTTATTGGTTGAGGGGACATGCCACTTATCCTGAGATGATGGCTTATGTTCCAAAGACAGCCCTGACACCACGGACAATTGCTGTGCTGCCTAGATTTTTGTCAACTCAACACAGGCTAGAATGTCAAGGGAGGTATGCCAAAGTTTGATGCCTGTTTTTAATGGAATTGCAAGGCAAGTGAGTAGTCAATAATTTTTAGAAAAAGAAAATTTTAAGTGCTTATTAGACCTTGGTCATTTAAATCTAAAATATAATTTAGGAATATGAGCACCAAAATTGCATTTGCTGTGTCTCCCTGAATGCTGATTGCCTTTGTTTTGTATTTAAATTGATTATATTTCCTTTTGCTTTTTAGAGAACACTGAGAAACAGGCATGCTCAACGGTAACAACTATTAATGGTATTATCTTAAATTACTAAGTAGATATTGGGTGAAATATATGATATTTAACCATCAGCCTTATTTCAAAACCCATCCAGCCTACCACAGAAGTGAAAGATTCTCCTCAAAGTGAAGCAATAAAAAAAGCAGAGGGAAGATCATCAAAGTCAGGTGAAAACTTCAGTTTTAATTACTAGGAACATAGTTGGGGAAATTTTAATGTGCATAGGCAGCCCGTTCCAATTCCACTCAACCATACAGGATGGGGACACTTTTCATCCCCAGTGCTGTTATTGTTATTGATATCCATATTTCAGAAAAATGTATGAGGTGTTGATAATTAAGTTTCAACTTAGATTTTTTCCTCCATTTCTCTTTCAACGTCTTAAATTTACCAGTTTAGAATCTGTCCTTCATAGGCGCTCACCAAGATTAATCATGAGGCTTATCAGAGTCTCCTAAAATTTAAAACTGCTGGGACTGGTACAATTGAGGACATAGTAGAAGATGACTATCTATAAATGTGTCATGATGAGGCATAGGTATCCATTATAATCTAAACAACATAAGTCAAATAGAAATAAAATGCCAGGTATGCAAACGCTATGACACAAGCCAGAGTCTCAGATCCTGGAGCATAGGAGTTCTGGACTAGCTTTGGCACATAGCAAGAACATTTCTATCCAAAGATAAATGCAGGAAATCCCATTTTAGTCATATCCTGACACATTAAGAATTCAGTTTTTTTCCAGTTAATTTAGTGGTGTCATCAGGTACATATCTCATCGTAGAATATAATATTATATAATGAGATGTAATGTATAAATCTAAATTCATATATCCATCAAAGTGAATTAATTATATTTAAATTTTCTTCACTTTTACTTTTTTATTTGTTTTTAGTCAGTTTTGATCATTTCATATGTGTATGGAAAACACTGTGATCAGTCACCTCCATTAACCTCCCTTCCATTCAGTTCACCTTGGCTTTCTCAAATAATTGCTTTTGTATTATTTTCTTTTTTTCTTTTTTGAGTGGTTCAGAATCATTCTACCTGCATCTTAAACTTAACCTCTATATAGAGCTGCTCTTCCAATCTCACTCTGATTTTATCACATGGTTCAATAGAAATGAGGCACAGAACATTTGCTAGAAAACATTAGACTGAGTCCCTTCAGCATCAACCATAGAAATGTAAATCATGCAGTACTGACTATGAGAACATAATCCATAAAGTGCTCAGGGCTGGCAGATACTCTGATTCTCCTCTCATCAAATTTGCTAATTGTTCATGTTTATGGCAAGAGTTCTGTTCTTCAGGAATTCAGATTAGTATTTAAAAAAAACCCTAAAATTCCTCTATTGTGGAAATTGATATTTATATTATAAATTTATTAATATTTCTGGAATCTGGAATCTGTACTTCAAGTCTGTCTAGTTTTATCTTCATTTTATTACCTACTGTCCATTCACTCCTTTTCCTCTGTTGGAGACCCTATCTCAAAATAAATGAAAGAAAAAATGAATTAATGAATGAATGAATGAATGGGGAAAAGGATATTGTATCACCCAGTCCATAAGTAGAAGTGTTAGGTATATAAATCAATAATTACATGTGGTAAGGATGTAAGATGAAATCTGAATAAGGCATTTTGGAAGGCTCCAGGAAAATCTAGAGAATGAGTCAAAATGCAGAAGACTCATGTAATAGAGTGTTAAACACTTGTTAGAATTGTTCATAAAAACATGTTCAGCATAAGGAACAAGTTTACAGAATATGTACACATATTTTGATGAATACGTTTTGGAGTAGTTTAAAATGAACTTTTATTATCATTAATGTTAAATAGCTATATGTTGCTATGTAATGTTCTCTATATCTGTAATGTCCTATAAATTGCTATAGAAAACTCTTATTAGTAACTTATTTTCAGCATAGACACATGATATACACACATCTCCATATGCCCCTTTTATCTCCAGAACGAGTGTCCTCAGAGAAAAAGTCAAAAAAGCGGGATCACAAAGAAATTAAACGGCCATTGGTAAAGTTTCAATTTCTCATTTAATACTGTCTGCTTTTATTGAAGACTATGTGTTATAACCCATCTTTATGGGGCATCAGCTAGATTCAGCCGACTTGCCTGGTTCATACTTATGAGGGGGAGTGTGGATTGAGAAATGGCAGGTAAAGATGATGAGGAAAAGACAGAGACACAGAATAAAATCAGAAGGGCAATCTAGTGACTATAGAATGTTCCAAGGTTATTCTTCAATATTCTTAAATATCCCAACCAAAAATGGGAATATGGAAAAATACTTCCTTATCAAAATATAAGGAAGAAACAGACCTTCTTCCTTAATTCTCCAAACATTTGGTAACCATGCCTTTGACTAAATTTCTCATTTTCTGGACTTGAGGGTTAAGAGTAACCACACCTCAGAGCAAGTCTTTTGTTGTTTAGATAAGACATCAGGACCAACTCAAAACATCCTACAGTAGCCACATCTTAGACCTTTAGGCCTTATGACTTTAACCTTGGAAGAGTAAGGGTAGTTTTGAACTCTTTGACCTTAAGCCAAGATGAAGTGAAGCCATTTTTATGGGCCCAGACAACCATTTTAAAAGCAGAATTTTCTTCAAACTGCCTTGACGATTTAGTAGACAATTCAGCGTTTAATTTTTAAAGTGTTTTAACTAGCTATAAGACATAGACAGGGCAGTGACATGTAACTACACTTTGTATATGAGCAGGCAGTGTGTTTTCTTATCTGTGATTTCACTCCATTACAGAAAGGCCATTTTAAGAATCAAACCATATAGAAAAGCAGCTAAAGTTATAAACTTATGGTTTTGTGTTATTGGCCAGTAATGCTTTGGTTAAACTTCTAATCCTTTTTTTGATATCTAGTTGGCTTCTGAGATTTGAAAAAAAAAAAAGAGGGAGTAGGAAAGAGGGAGTAGGAAATTTAACAGCTCTATTGCCCAATCAGTGGCCGACTGATCCTTCTATTATGGACCATCTGGAGTGAGAGTAGAGGCAGTGTATTGCTTCTTTGTCTTCATCTCAATTAAGGAAATCACTAAATATATTAATGTTATGCAGTGTTCTTAGTGTCCATAAGACTATTATTAAGACCAAACAATGTAAATACTTTATGTGGAAACACGACACTAACATTCTGTCAATAAACGGCAGGATTGGCGTCTTAATACATGGACACTTACATGCATAGCACACACTTCTCCATACACAGACCTGTATATGAATACGTGCACAAAGTAAAATTTTCCAAGATAAATGAAGCAACATCTGAAATTGTCTATTCTCATTATTATATTCTATGGGTTCAGTTTTCAAGCTGAATATCATATTTTAAAATAAAAGCAATTCATGTTGTTTAAAATATTTTAAATAATTTATACTTTATTTATAGCAAGTAAATGTTTAGGAATTTGTGTGTGTGTTGTAAAAATATTCTTTTAGTCTGAAAATCATTAGATATTTTATTTTGTCTTTTTTCTTTTTTAAGCTGAGGACTGAACCCAGGGCCGTGTGCTTGCTAGGCAAGCTCTCTACCACTGAGCTACATCCCAAACCCCTGCATTCTATATTTTAAAGGCAGTTTCCTTGTTGAGGTTTGCATGAGAGCAAATTTTAAAATTTTTAAGACTATGCTTACTGTCAGCTGACATGTTTGAGTAAAGACTGAGTAGCCATGAAAGTAAAACAGATTTGACCTAGGGAGCATATGCCAGGTTCTCTAGGGAAACATATTCATTCTAGCGCAGTCTCTTAACTTATGTCCAATTACTTTCAAAATAATAATTGTGACATATTTTTAGAAAATTATTAGCAAAAGATGTGCTTCTCTTTCTTGATGTGAATTTTAACAGAAACTCTTTGAGAGGGTTTTTCGGGATAGTCATTGCTCTGGGACTCGGGAAGAAAAAGGCAAAGACATCACAAAAGGAAGAGTGCTAGGTAAGAAACTTATTTTTTAAGTTTAAAAACATTAATTGAGGGCCCGGAGAGATGCCTTAGCCTCTGCATCACTTGTTGCTTTTGTAGAGGACCCAGTGCCCCCATGGTGATCCATCATGTATATGTGCAGGATAAACATTTATATACATTTAGTCAACTAAATAAATCTAAAACAAAATCTTGAATTTATTTGTCTGAAATGTTTGTTTCACCATTTGAATGAATTAAGGAATATTTTATGAGCTCTTATTCTGGAGCTGTATATCCTCTCGTGTCATATTGGAAACTTATCACCCTCAAAAGTGAATTCTACACTTCAGTCAACTGATATGAAAACACTGTTCTTCCTAGATCACAGGATGACTTGGAAACCCATCTAGTCAACTTTGCCATTTCCCTGTTGGAGCCACTTGTCCCTCTTATTTACATCACAACCCTCTCCATCAGCCAAAATGTCCTACCCCTAGGTGTGCGCTCTCCTACTTTAGTTACACCCATTGGTTATTTTATCACTATTTTGAAAAATTAACTGCATGTTTCATTAAATATGTATTCATTTCATTAGCATATTTTATATTTCTACACTGACCATAGTAAACAATGAAACTTAAAATAATGATTTTTTAAGTAAAGCATGACTATTCATCCCCTTCCTATTTCTTCATGTGCTCAGAGTGGGTGTTGTCACAATTCATAATTTTGATCATTTTCCATATTACCTTTTAGCATGGGTTGAAAAAGATGATCTCTCAAAGGTAAAGCATATAACTTTTTTCTTGAATTACTAAGGACACACATTGTAAATCATACATTTACTAAATATCTTGCTTCAAATTCTATTCAGCCTACAACTACAGAGAAAAAGTCTTCTGCAGATGAAGTGGAAATCATCAGGCTAAAACCTTCCAAATCAGGTAAATTTTATAATTCAACAGGATCTTGGAAGAAAAAAAATATTAGAACTAACTACCATTTTCACGATGTTAACTCTATCCCCCAATACTGATGGGAAATCTGACATAACAGAGTGAGGCTATCAGTATTTAAGGAGAGTCATTTAGAAACATAAATAGAAGATTAAAAGTATGTAGAGACTGGCTTAGAGGTTTCTAGTTTCACTTTTCCATGGCAAAAATTATGGGTTTAGACTCTAAACATAACAGTCATGTATGCAGATTATTGTTAGAGCTCTGAGATTTTCCCAAAGTTTAAACACACTTACTAGAGATCTGGTTGTCATGATCACACCTGGTTTCTCAGTCACTTGGGAGGCTGAGACAGGATATTTCTTGTACCCAAAAGTTCTGTGTTGGTGTGATTGCAAAGCAAGATATATTCTCTTAAAGAAGAAACACAGAACCAATTTTCATTTCACACAGTCCACATGTTATCGCTGTCTAAGTTGAGTATAACATTCTGTACCAGTTTAGTGCAGATAAATAAATCATTACTGCCGGTATGTAGCAATCATCTGACATAATAGTGTATACTTTTGAATAAGCTACAATTCCAAACATTATTAGTATCTCACCTGTCATATTTGCTATTGTTTTCTTCCATTTTACATTGGGGAATATGCTGAGAAAATCCTATGATTTTTCACTTGATATTGCCCAGTCTTATGTGTGTTACTCTCCAGACCTTCTAACTATTTATTATTATTATTATTATTATTATTATTATTGTTGTTGTTGTTGTTATTTTTCTCAGCTTTGTACCAACAAAGAGCACAATACTTACAACAAGAGCTATGTGAATTCCATCAAAATTTACAATGAAGAAGAAATATTGAGCAACCAAGGACAATTAAAAACATTTGAGTTTCTTTTTACATATAATTTTTCTTCCTGCCAGTAATTACTAGCATTACTTGAGGAATTCAGATTTGCACATTTTTCATTTAACATAATCCTCTCTCTTTTTGACACTAATAAGGACATACCCTAGATATTTCTGAAAACACTACCTCTGTGTCTGCTTTGCATCAGGTTTTCTCTGCTTTGTTGCTTTCTGGGAGTTCATATTCATATTCCACTTACACCTTGTCCACCACTTTTAGAGTACTCATGTACAATGCAGCATGAAGAAGTTAACATACAACTTCTCAGTTACAAGACTTTCATAATCTACCTTTACACAAATCTACCACTGTAGCTCTTTTCTTCTATCATTATTGATGTTTCCATCCTCACCCTTAACTGTATTTTAGCCAAGCACTCTGTTGAATACTCCTTTCCCTCTTCTGTTGTTGTGATATTTTGTGCTGTCACCATTTCCTGCCCTCCCTCTGCCTAAAAGTTGCTCTTTCGATGTCAGACCAGGCATCATTTCAAGGAAATGTAGTCACTGTACATTTCAAGCACACTTACAAAAGCGCCAAACCATCATCACCTAGCAGATGCATAATAAGTAATTATTGAGCAAAACAAAGAAAGAATACACACTTAGATGACTGAAAAGGTTGCCCACTCGAGTCTGAGAGTGATCTGTATAGACACATAAAGAAGTAGTTTACAGCTCAAGGGGTAATGATAGGTTCTACCATCAGAGTGTCGTGGTAGCCCTAAGCAAAGTGCTGCCTGCTTATCCGGGGAGAGGCATAATCTAGGATGAGTTTGGATATCAGATGGAATCTGAACAGATAACTTGTCAGAACATGTCAGATGGTAAAGCTTAAGGGTTACCTGAAATTCCTGGGGAAATAAAAATGCTCTTTGTTATCATCTATTTTAAGCTGTTTATACATATTGACATAGAGACTACTATTTTTATATTATCTTAAAGTTTATGTTCACAAAATATATAGATTTGTCTGTAGAGGTAGTCATAGAAGTGTCGTCGGAAGAAGAACAGAAGGGAGATGATGATGATAATAATGGCACTGCACGTCAGCAACACTTGGTAAGGAAACAATTTCTCATTTAGTGTTTTGTTATGTTTATTAGAGTAGCACCAACCAAATGCAAGCACCCTCATGTTATCTTACAGAAATGATAGAAAGTTTCATTCTATATTTGAATTCTGACTAATTATAAAGTTCAGAATGTTCTTAGAATCAACAGTAACTAATCATTAAATTTTAAGTATGGCATCTTTTTTGTTTATTTTTGGTCTTCCATACATATACATATACATATACATATACATATACATATACATATACATACATATCCCCCCCCCTTTTTTTGAGACAGATTTCTCTGTGTGGCTTTGGAGCCTGTCCTGGCACTTGTTCTGTAGACTAGAGTGCTTGAACTAACAGAGATCCACCTGGCTCTACCTCCCAAGTGTTGGGATTAAAGACAAGTGCCAGCACCACCCACTCAGCTTAACCTCTTTAAATTATAAAAAATAAAATCAAATTGTATCTTATGTCTAGACAATAGCAATTTTGAACAATGTAGAGTTGATGGCACCTGTATTGGATTCATGCAAAAGGGTGACCATTCCCAGTAGTTCAGAATTTATAGCTTTGTATCACCAGTCAGTAACACCTAGATTAAAGTTTGGATTCTATCTTTCTATATGTATAGTTGACTTCAGCATATTTATAGAGGCAGGGAACAGGGTGATGTTAACACTACCCCACATTAAGGGGAAATAGTTCACAATGGCACTTGGGTTGGACTTTATTCAAACATTTCATAGGCTATGTGACATTATCATTATATACAATTTGAATTGAAGAATAACAATTTTCCTTCTGGGTCCTGTGTCCTTCATATTTTTATTTTTATATCTCCTCCTCTTCTTACTTTCTACAGACCAGTTACTCACAGCTCAAAAATAGTTCTTGAGTGTGTCTGTCACCATGACCAATTGAGTTAGATGTTTCTGAGCAGAAGTTGAGTGTGGTTGTCATCCACCAATCATTCCACACAAGATTCATCACAATATGTGCCCCTTATTTCATGGAAAGAGCAGAATGTATATGATTATTTGTGTTTATCGAGTACTCAAAATAGAAGCCATTTGCATAGCTTTTAGTTCAAACCCACAGGTGTAGCTGTGTCTTAATGGCAAAGATGCTGGGAGTCAGGTGAAAGAGAAACAGCAGACTCATTTATTTAGCAACTGGGGGGGGTGAGTGGGCTTTTACACCTTTCAGCACCCAGGCCTTCCTATCTGTTAACATTTCATAGTCGCCCCTCATTGGCTAGGCACTATCAGGACCTCTGACAGCACCAGGCAGACCCCAGATTATCTCATTTCTCAGCCTTGTGGGCCTTAACTTCCTACACACATGAATAAAATAGTTATAACATATGAATTTCTGCACTGTTAAGCTTGAGTTAATTTTCATAAATATAAATCATGCAAACAGAAGCAAATTGTTTATTGAATTATGGTAAAAATATAACCTAGAAATGGATTATACAGAAATATAACTAAAAATTTCTTAACATTTAGTATTTTTAAAAATATTACATATTAAGCTGAGTATGGTGGCACATGCCTTTAATCCCAGCACACACACGGTAAATAAAAGGAAGCAGATCTTTGTGAGTTTGAGACCAGTCTGGTTTGCATAGTAAGTTCCAGGATTGCTAGAGTTATGTAATAGTGAGACCATGTCTTTTTAAAAAAAGAAGACAAAAACAAATACTGTGTATTAAAGGAGTAAGTTTTAAAATATTGCTATTTGGGTTCAGATAATTGTTTAGCTGAGGCTGAGAAAATTGGTCAGGGGGTAAAGTGTTGCACAAGCTTGAGATACTGAGTTCAGGTTCCCAGGCTCAGTGGTGTGTTACCTCTGCTGGGGTAAGGATGGACACAGATGGATTCTTGAGGCTTGTTAGCTAGCCAGTCTAGCCAAAATAGCAAGCACATAAAATAAGGAGGAAGCTACCTGAAGTCAATCTAAGGCCTCCACACACACAATCACAGGTTGAGAGTACATGGTATGCATGAAGTTGGGTGCACAGATGGGTAGAAGATGGGGCATGGGGAAGGAATATGATAATGTTTGAAATTCCCAAAGAGTAAGCAAATAGATGTTTAAAAAGTTCAAGGGCTCTCTTCATATTATGAAACAAAAAATGTGTAATGCTTTATGTTATAGTCTAATATTTGTAAAAAAAAATTGTGTCTCTCTGGAATGATCCTGATTATCTTTTCCTAATAATATATACATGAAAGTCCATGCACATATACAATCCAACATGTGGCTATTTTGGGGATGAAGTGCCATCAAAGACCTCAGAAAGATAATATATAAACTCTAGAATTGACAGAGACATCTTACTGCCTGGACAGTCATCCAAAGTTCCTCTGTAATGTTGGAGCATCCATATTCAGACCTTAGGCCACAGTGTATCTGGCAGACTTCTCAGCAGGAAAATTTAAACTACCTACCTATATTGGCAGTTTGTCAGTCATTTTTCTCTGTGTCCTGCAGAATGTCTGGCAGACTTTTCCATGAAGCAGGAACCCTGCAGAACTGCCCTGTCTTGTTTTGTAAATTCAGCAGTCATTTTCCTGTGGATTCTGTGTGTCCAGTTTATACAGCATCCAGTCAAACAGTCCAGGCAAGAGCAGTTTCTTGCTCAAATGGCTAGTCTCTCCATATTGAAAGCAAACTTCATGTCTAGTTTCTCTGATGTCCACCTTCCTTTCTGACATAATTGCAGTTGCCAGGAGCAGTTGTGTCTCACTGTCATGAAAACCCCTAAACCATTTTAAATGCCATTATTCTGTAGGCCTTTGAAATGTTTGAAGGAAAATCTCAAATACATCTCTGTTTATCTAAAAAACCTAATTAACATAACTATAAGTTTTGACTATTATAGGTGACTATAACCTATATTTAATCATACATTACATTTTTAAATGAGCGTATAAACACAATATCTAAACAAGAGGAGAAATATACATTTAATAAAATTAACTTTAAATTTGTATCAATAAACCAAAATTCATACCAATACAAAGTATTCATTTCTTTATCATATTCCCCTTCTTTTCCTTTAAAAAGAGATTATCTGTGACCATTAACCATTTACATCCAACCCCATTTAAATGAAAAAAAAATTATACACAGTATTTGGGGATCTGGGCATCTTTCTTTCCACACTGCTTCTTGCTGTTTGGGCTATTGTGAATACCATTGGGATCCTGAGAAAACGTGGAAACCTAGCCAAATCCTGGCTGTAGTAGTCTGAAGTTGCATCGTTTCATCTGTCTCAGATGTTGGATCACATGAGCCACTGCTTCAGGTGGTCTGGCTTGATCAAACCATATCAGTCTAGAATGAAACCACAGCTTTTCATTTTCTGTGGAAACAAAAATAGACCCTCATTTCCAAAGTATCACATCCTTAGACTTAAAGTTTGAAGTCAAAGCATTTTCAAAATATGTAGGTTGGATTAATCCAGCAGCATTGATAATCAAATGTCTGATAGCAGCTGTGGCTCTTTCTTCAGCAATCAATTTAAAGACAACACAATAATATACAGTGTACAGACCCTCTGCTTATTTTCCATCTTTACGTGCCTTAAAAAAATGCTCTGTTTCTTTTAATTTCATTTTTGTTGTTTTTTTGAGTATTTTTTTTGTCTGTCCTGAAATTCACTCTGTAGACCAGGCTGGCCAAGAAATCAAGGAGACCTGCTTACCTCTGCCTCCTGAGTGAGTGCTGGGATTAAAGGCTCCTCTATTTCTTTTTTTAAGTACTTTATCCTTTTTCTTTTCTCTCTCAAGCCTACGTATATTTTTTAACACACTATAAACCCTTTAGAGGGTTTTCTTAATCTGAATCTGTCTTTACTATATATCTACATCTTTTTCTGGCCATGAGTCTTTTATCTGCTAAACAGCATAGCTAAAATTAAAGTGGACATTTTAGCTGCTGGCTTTCCAACTTGGCAGGGGTACATTTAATACCAGCACTGGGAGCTGTGCCACCAGCTGCTTGTTGCTTGTATACACCATTCAATTGTTTGGTAGTAGGGCCTTTTAACAGACCTGTGCAGTATTTTTTTTTTTTTTTTTTTGCCACTAATGCTGAGTGAGGAAGACACTCTTAAAGGAACCATGAGCCTCTGCTTGTGTCTAGCAAACAGAGCCCATCTGAGAAAATGCTACTACCAAGAAGTGGTGCTTGTTTCTCTTCTTTTGTCTTTAGAACAAAAGATTTTGTCAAGTTTTACGTGGAAATTAATGTATTGGGTGCCATTTTGTTGCTGGAGTTTCTTGTTCCACCAGGTCCTACTGCCGCTTCAGCCCCAAATAAACACACAGGTGCTATATTAGTTTAAAAAAACTGCTGGCCAATGGCTAGGGCTTCTTATTGATTTGCTCTGTCTTAATTATTAACTTATAACTACTAATTACTGTATTTTTATATGACCTTATGTTACTGGAGAATGCCTGGTGTGTCCTACCATGGCATCTCCTGGCTACACCTCTCTGCCTCTCTACCCAGCATTTTCCTCATCTCCTAGTCCCATCTATCTTCCTGCCTTTATTGGCCAAACAGTGTTTTATTCACCAACCAATAAGAGAAACACACATACATAGCCGGACATCCCCTATCACAAAACAAAAGCTGACAGCTTTCTTTTTATTTTATCCCTTCTGTCATTCTCAGAATTTTAGAGTTCTGTGGGCAGATTAATCATGTCCCAATAGTATATTTTTACATATATTTGCCTTGTGAACAAATATGCTTGCCCTGAATAATACCATGTAATCTGTCTCCTAAAGTTAGTATAGACCTGTCTGTAAATCTTCTGACTCAGATTTTCTGTCTCTGAAACTAAACTCATTGATTTATGTTTGCCTGACTATATCACTCTACCTTGACCTCCATTTCCCACTTTAATGAAAGTGCTATCAAGTGGACATCATGAACTGAAGCTGAGGAGATGCTGGACTTAAGCTCTCCTCATAGTTTCACCCTTGGTTTCCCATCTGATTATCAGGTTTCATATGGTGCAAAGATGATTACAGTGACAGCCTACTTATCATCATTATTGTTGCCATCCCCCTCCTACTCATTATGTGTGCATGATTTGAATTTCTCTGTGTGTGAACATACACATTCCATTGTATGACTGCGATTGTCAGAAGACAACTTTGGGAGTCTATTCTCTCCATTCAACACATATTCTGACAGTTGAATTCAGCCTTATGCATCAAGCACTTTTATTAGTTGGGCCAGCTAGCTGGCCTGTCACCAACTATTTTGAAATATCTTTTCCTTTCTCCCCACATTGTGACCTTCTACCCTTATACAGTTGGAAATGAGACTTGTATACAATTGTTTCTTCTGAAAGAACTCAGTTCCTATTATGTGGGTTGCCTGTGCTATGAGGAGGAATTCTCACCTTCTGTCTAGAATGAGAAATTCCTCATGTGATTTGGCTTTGATCTTCATGTTTGAGCAATCCATCTCATTACCAGTAAGTGTATTCCACTTTTGGCTCATGATGCTTTGTCTACAAGGCCCTTTGTACTCCCCCTCTCTGATTTCTCTGACTTTCAAATTATGATGAAGAATGGATTCTTTCTTATATAATCATTGTGAATTCACTTTGGTGATAAAATAATAAAATAAATTTTTCTCACTTGTTATCATGTGTCACTAGCTCTACTTAAAAAAAGAAGTTAATTTCTCTTATCTGCTTTTCACAGGATTGTGTGTATAACTTGACAGACTATAAATACATTTGTCTTAGTGACTGATACAGTGAGTGGGTGATGGAGAGAATGGATGAAGTAATCTAATTTCTGAAGTTGTGTTTTCTTTGTTTTTCATGCCAGGAAGAAGAAACAAAGCAGCCAGTAGGGAAAAGAAACCAAAGGAATCCTTCCAGTAAGCAAATGAATAATGAAAATCCCAGTTATTCTAATGGGAGGAATAGCAACATTTATAAATTTGCAAATGCACATGAAAAGTGTTTTATGTGCAAGTACTAATATAATAAAAAATACAAGTGTGCATACTCTCAAATAAACATTGCTTTTAAATAGCTTTTCTTGTTCAGTTCCTACTATAACAATGACTTCCTGGAAATGCTTCAAACACCTGAAATTTTGTCTTGCTATTTCAACAAAATATACAAACATCAAAATGTAGTGTGTAACATGATAAATAAAGACCCAGAGGCAAATACTGAGGTTAAGCTTCAAGCTGAAAGTTAGCAGAACAAAATAGCCAGCCACTAGCTCTTACCTCTACCTCAGCACAGACCAAAGGGGCAATTCTCAAACTTCTCCTCAGATTCACCCAGACTGCTATGCTCTCTCCAATGTGGTTAGCGACTGAATTGCCAGCTCTGAGACCCTGTTCCTGTCTTAAATAACTCATGAATCGGGATTTAAAGGCATGAGCTCTGTTACTCTTTTATACTGCTTCAATCTCATATATCCCTGGGTGACCTTCAATTAGCAAAAACAATACTTTATTATCTATCCAATAGACCAATTTATTCCTTTTCTTGGAACAATTTTTCTGGATTATGTGTCTCTTTTCTTCAGATGTCTCAATTGTCCAGTGGACTCTAGATTCCTTAATGGGATACCTTTATTCTCCTGAAAAGACAAAAGTGAAACCCTTTCACAACCCTAAATTTTTGAGGAGCTTCTTTGACAAGTTATATATGATCAAATGAAAAGCATTTGTTAGTTTTATAGGTTAGTTTAGATTAAACGGCCATGCTGCTTGTTGAACTAATTAATGGGTGTCTTGTTCAAATAAAATCTTTATCAATTTTTATGGTATTCATAGCTTTCTTCATGGTGGAAATCAATGCAAAACCTCTTCCCCAATGTAACACATACCCTGGTTTCCATTCAGAGGTCAAGGCAATTTTAAAGTATATCAGCTGGTTTAATTCTATAGTTTTTCTTTTTTTTTTTTTTTTTTTTTCTATTATCCAATGTCTCCCTGCAGCTGTTGTTCCTTTCTCATTAGCACTGAGGAAATTCAATGGAATATATTTTGGGGGTTCTTTATCATCCCTTTCTGTTTATTTAGCATATCATTTAGCGTTCAATTTGATCTTTCCCTATTTTGGTGAGGACAAAGTCTTGTACCTAATTTACTTTTTATTCTAATTTGCATTATCAAAATATCTTTTAATTTCTCTTAAACCATTTACACTTTACATATCTTTAGTGGCTTTCTTTTCTGAGTCTGGTAAACAAGGGGAACTATAACTGTACTATCTAGTCTTCAACTCCCTCAGAGAACTGAGAAAGAATTAATATTAACTGAGTAAACAGGAAGTGCTAGCAAGCTACTTCCAAAAAATGTGACAAATGACAAAAACAGCTGGCTGCCTGGACAGTCACTCAAAGTTCTTCTGTAAAGTTGGGTCATTCATCTTCAGCCTATAGGCGTAGTGCATCTGACAGACTTTTCTGTGAAACAGGATATTCTGAAGGACTGTTGTTTTGTTTTAGCAAGGTTTGTAGTCACTCTCTTTTGTGTCCTATTTGTCCAATTGTGACAGCCTACCATCAGCAATCAAGGCAAGGGCACTTTCTTGCCTAGTGGCTACTTTTACCACAAAGAAAGTAAACTCCACGAGTAGTTCTCCAGTGCTCATCATCTTTTCTATAGTTCCTCTGATGTCAATCATCTTCTCTGAAGTAGATTAGTGCTGCCAGAAGCATACATGTCTCATTGTCATTAAAAAAAAAAAAAAAAGAACCCACATTATTAAAATGTCTTAAATGCCATATTCTGTAGATCTCTGAAGGGTCTGAAGATGACCTATTTAAAATATATCTCTGTTTGACCTTAAAGACCTTACATAATATGACTACAAGTTTGATTGTAACAGTTGAGTAATTATTAGCCTACATTTCTCTACATTTCTTTATTATGTTATGTAGTTGGTAACAATAACTTTCAAGGATTAGAAATTTGCCATACATTCTTAACTGAGCTTTTTAGATACAATACCTTGAACAATATTACAAATGTATGTACAGTAAGTTTTACCAAAATTAATCTCAAGTTTGTATCAATATTTGTTTGTAATATACAAAAGTTCACTACAATGTAAAATATTTAAAATTTGTAGTTGCTTTTAAAATATAGATTCAATAATCTGCCCTTTTATCTTACATCTATATCTTCCCTTTTTCCTTTTTAGAGTAGATTCAAAAACTACTATTTCATCTTATCTATACATTTTAGAAATAGATTCAATAATGTACCTTTGTTATCCTATCATACTGGCATTCCCATTTTTCAAACAAAAACCTTGAATATAATCCTATTTGTTTAATTTTCTCCCAGAGTGTAACCAACATTTTGTAACCAATCTCTGTAAACAATGACAAATTTCCAAAACCTATTTATTGACCAAAAACCACTCAACCCACTTCTTGGAAATGTAGGTATTGTGTTTTCAAAGTTACTTCCTGCTGTCTGGGCATGATGGCATCATTATGGAATCCCACAAAGAAAAATTTGGATTAACTGTCAAACTGTATCAATTTTGTCCAGTCTCTGCATAATGGGAAAGTGCAGGACTTGTTTCAAGTCCTGGCTAGAGTAGTGGATAAGGCTGGATCACCTCAACTGGCCTCCTCAAAATTGTTCTGAGCAGTCTGTAGTCCAGAGCAGATCAGAACATTAGTTGATGTTGTTTGGCTTAATGGTGTTGTTATAGTCCTGGAGAAATTGTCTTTGTGGTGTTCTTCCTTACTCCCCCCCTCCCCATCGCCTCTTCTTTTCTTCTTCTCCAAGACAGGTTTTCTCTGTTAACAGACCTGATTGTTCTGAAACTCACTTTGTAGATCAGGCTGGCCTCAAATTCCCTGAGATCTGCTTGCCTCTGCTTCCCAAGTGGTGAGATTAAAGGCATGTATGACTTCATCCCTGCTGGGATTCAGTTTTCTGTTTGCAGACTTTAGAGATCCCATTAAGTCAGATTACTTCCTTTCTTGATAATTTTTTCCAGGTAGTTCTCACTTCTTCTTTGGAGGCTTATTTGTTCAAAAATCTTTAAACTTTTCAAGATGGTTGCTTTTATTTTCCTGAAAAGACAAAAACAGACCCTTCCCCAACTCTAACTTTAGGGAAGTTCCTAATATAATACTTATCAATTTTGATCTTTGGTTTCTTCTGATTTTTTTTTATCTTCTAAAGCTCTTATCTCATTCACAGCTATATGTTTTCTTACAATAGGCATTAGGTTCTTTAATTACTCTGGGAAGGAACTGAATTTGGCACAGGACCTTTGAAAGGTCCCTCAAAGAAGGCAAAGTATTACCTTGATAATTTCTTGTTGACCTACATTCCTTTGTCCAGTGCTTGCCTTTGCCATACCTTCTGTGTAATCCAGAAGGGAGGTGCATTCTCTTTGGGCTTTTTTATAAAAAGATTGTTCCTAGAAATGCCCTGTTTACAATCCCTTTTCAGGTGACCTTGTCTGCCACAATTAAATCATTTGACATTTCAATTTTTCTTTCAAACCTCTTGAAATCACTTCTCCTATCTACGTCATGGTCACGAGTTTCACTATTAATTGTGTCTTTGATCCAACCCTTCAAAAGTGCTGATCTTGCTTTTAAAGGTCTAATTATTCTTTTGCATTGAGAATTAGCATTTTTAGAAACCATACTTCTAATTATTACTTTTCTAGGGCCTGTGTCTGATATCATTCTATTGACTGCTGATGACAGTCTTTGTATGAAATCCATGAATGCTTCTGTTGGGCCCTGTATAACTTTTGTAAATGATTGGATTTCCTTTCTTACTTCTCCAGTTCTATCACAAGCTTTCAAGGCTGCTGTATAGCATAAATCCAAGGATGATCATCATATAAACATTGCATTTCTAAAGTAGTATAATCTCCTTCTCCAGTAAGTTGATCTTGGGAGTTATTCAACCTTTGGCTTTATCCCCTTATTCAACAGTCTTAGTCTCTTCTCTGAACCAGGAAGTCCATTGTAATTGTGTTTCAGGCTCTGGGACAGCTTTAATAAAATCTATCCAATCTACAGCGATACTCCTATTACAAACTGATCGTACATTTATCATCTACTTCAAAAATGGTGAATGGATGCCATATGAGACTACAGCTTTCTTGAATTTCCCTAACTGTAACATTGTCACATGTTCCAAATAGCTCTTATAGAAGCTCATTTATTTTGCACTTCCTGTAAAATTCCTAGCTATATTAAAGGTGGTTCTCTTAAGACCTTAGAGCCTTAAAATGCAATGCTGAATTTGGTTCTCTATGTAATCCTTTGGTATGGTTTGAATATCTCTATATCTGTTTTATAAATTTTTCTAAGGCCTGAATCTTAGCAGATATTCCAACCAACCTTTTTAGAGCTAAATCAAGAATTATTAAAATGACAACAAAGATTATAAAAATGATAATTAACAGTATGTCAATCTTGGTTGATTATCCCTTCATTTATTTGTTCTACTTTTAAACTGTCTAATTCTCTCCATTTTAATAGTGTTTTTCATTTTTTAGTGTGGGGGGGGAAAACTTTTTTTTTAAAAATTAATCCCTTCCTTTCAGAATTTCCAGTTGTCTTACCAAATATGACAATGTCAGTGAACTGTGAGGTGTAGCACATCTAAATCAGAGAATTAGCTTGTGGCCATGAGCTGAGAGTGTCAGCCTGAGGAGAGTGGCTCTAGGACAAGACTGAAAGCCTTATGAGTTTGGGTAGTAGCTGAAGAATATTTAGAAAAGCTACAACTGAAAATTTTCATACTTGCTCAAAGGTTTGAGGGACACAAACAAACACAAAAGGAAACCTAGCTGATCAGGCAGGGGTTCAGGCAGGAGGGACTCGGGCAAGAGTACTCTCTACAGCTCAGGCTTGGGCCTGGCCTGGTGGCCTCAAAGTGGCTTCTTCGTGAATTTGTATTTCAATATTGGGTGTCAATTGAACACAATAATAAAAGACCCAGAGACAGATATTGGGATTAAATCTTCAAGCTGAAGGTCAGAAATACAAAGCAGCCAGCCACTAGCTCTTACCTCTACCTCGGCTCAGACCACAGTGACAATCCTCAAACTTTTCCCAACTTAACTGCTCCTCAGATTCAGTTAGGCTGCTATATTCTCTGCAATGTGGCTAGAGACTGAATGACAGTTCTGAGACCCTGTTCCTGTCTTAAACACCTCTCATGAGTCCTGGGATTAAAGATATTAGGTGTTACTCTTTTAGACCTACTCAATCTCATGTATCTCTGGGTGGCTTGAAATAATAAAGATCCATCTACCTCTTCACCATGAGTCCTGGAATTAAAGGTGTGTGCCACAACTGCATAATTTCTATAGCTAACTAGTGTGGTTGGCTTTGCAAATTGATCGCCAGTGACTTTATTAGATCATAAGCAATATATCACCACAGTAATGATAAGATATATGTAATACACACACACACATAAATCTTTAAGTATGCACATTTAATTTCACTGTAACAAATACTCTCTTTAATGTTTCTGTGACTACATTGTATAGATAAGACATCTATATTCCAGAAAGAAGTTGAAGACTCACTTGAGGACTCTGAGGTTTGTCCAATGTTGTTTTTGTTTCTGAAAAAAAATAACTTTGAATGATGTATCTTTAGTAAATTTATTTCAGTAACACATCTTATGGATTAAACTTATTTTCTCATTTGTTATCAAATTTTTCTCACTCTACTTCAATACAGAAGTTAATCTCTTTTATCCTCAGCTTCGCAGAGGTTGTGTTTATAACATGACAGACTAGAAACTTTTAGTGACTGATACATTGAGAGAGTAATAGAGAGACTGAGAAACATAATTTCTGAAGGTTTTGTTTTCTTTGTTTTTCATGACAGGGAGTAGCAACAGAGCAACCCTTAGGAAAAGGTAAACAAAGGGGTACTTCTTGTCAGCAAAGAAATAATGAGAATTTCAGTCATAAAAGCAGAGGTAACAAAAATGATAAATTTGCAAATATATGTGAATTTTTTATGCACAAGTAACAATATTGTAATAAAATGAATACAGACATTCTAACACCTCTGCACAGCCAGATCTCATATATTCTTTCTCAGAATCTAACCCTGTGAGGGCACCTGACCCTCTATGTTACCTTTCCAAGCCCCTGGACCTAGCCAGATTCTTACATTTAGTGCTCCAGATTAGTCTGGCTAACCCTTCCAAGACCCATCTAGCCAAGACCAATCACAGCCTCTGGCTTCTCAAGTGACAACAACTACCTCTCTACTAAACTAGGTCCTGCACTTCTTTGCCAAGTTCTAGCAGGATGAGTCTGCCTCATTCTCCCATCTTCATCTTCAACATCCATATCTAATCTCAAACTCCAGTTGGACTAGGATGTACATCTTACATACTAGCCCAGAACCCTTTTTCCATCTTACTTCATTCCCCTTAAGCCATATTGAACTTTCAGACTCAACTGGTCTGTGCTTATGCTGTGTCTATATTATAAACAAAACTCACAAAACAAATGTACATGTCCAGAATTCACATAAAAAATATAAATAACATGAAACATCAAAACTGTATTCCCCTCACCTTATATCCACCAGTCTTTATAAATGTTCACCACTGAGAATTACATATATGAAACCAGGGTACAGAATTTAAAATAATAATCATAAACTTTATCAAAGAATTCAAGGAGTTTAAAGAATACACAAAGAAACAGCTCAGTGAACTTAAAGAGAGGCAATGCCTGAGTGAATGTCCAGGATTTCAAAATAGAAGTCAATAAATAGAAACACTGAAGAAAACTCAAGGTAAACTGAAGATGAAATTGAAAACCCCAATAGTCCAACAAGAAAACTCAAGGGGAAGCCTTACAAGTCAAATGAATCAAGCAGAAATTAGGCTAAAAAATTAATTGTATGATCTAGACAAATTCTATGAAAAATTTAAAAACAAAGACACCCCTCCCCTAAAATCACCAGAAAGAACATTCAGCAAATGAAGAAATGTGGTTCACCATAAAAAGAACAAATCATTGAACTGTAAGAGTAGATGCAGGAGAAAAATCCCAGGTCAGTGTCATAAACCAGATCTTCAACATGATCATTGAAGAAAACTTCCACAAACCAAGGAACCACCCATACATAAACAAGAAGCACATAAAACACCAGATAAGACCAGAAAAGAACCCCTCCCCAGGACATATCATAGTTAAAACTCCAACTATACAAAGAAAGAACACTGAAAGACAAAAAAGACAACAAACAAAACAAAACAAACTAAAAAAACCCTCAAGTAATATATAGAGTCCACCAGAATCATAACAGTGATTTGTCAGTGAAAACTCTGAGAGTCATAAATCCTGGAACAATACATTTTAATCTTGAAAGAACATGACTGCAAACTTAGACTAATATATCCAGCAAAACTGTGTCATGGTTTATAAAAATAGAAAAATTTTCATGCTATGAATAGACCACTTCCTGAAACAAAAAGCAAAAGAAAATCTTTTTTTATTTTAAATATCGGTTCCAGTTCCCTCTCCCTCCCTGCTTTCTCCCTATTTTCCTCTCTCCTACCCTCCCATCCCAAATGACTTGGCAAAAGAAAATCTTAATTCCAAAAAACTTAACAACAACAACAACAAAAACACTATGATATCCTACCTGACCACATAATGCAATAAAACTTAAAATTAACATCAAACAAATGTCCAGGATGAATATAAACTCATTGAGATTAAGCAAGTAAGAAGAAGCCAAGTGAAAAAGCTCTTGGAACTCAATGAAAATGAAAACAAAACACAAGAAAAACTCTGGAACAAATTGAAAGGAAGCCACATGAATAGCTTTCATGGTCAGGAAAAATGCTCATAAATGACTTAATGATGTAACTTAAGAATTAAAAAAAATAAGAACAAACTAAACTCTTACCCAGTAAATGTCAAGAAATAATAATAATAATAAAAAACAGAACAGAAATTAATGAAATAGAAGCAATAAAGACAATAGAAAGAACCTGTGAATCTGAGTACAGGTTCTTTAAGAAGATAAAATCAACAGACCCTTGGCCCAATTACCCAAAAAGAAAAAGTGTTAGGTCCAAAGTAGGTTTCCCAAAATGGCAGTGCTGGTGACAATGTGATAATGTCCTAAAGAGGACTCTGAGCAGTAACAAAGATTGCTATTGGGTAAACAGCAGCTTAAATTCAGCATTTCTTGGGAATCAGCAGGTTTCGGTTTATCCTCAATCTGACTCTAAAGTCAACTACTTCTGGTGTCCTAGCTAGTTTCATGTCAACTTGATACATTCTAGAGTCATAGGAGAGGATGGGACATTATTAACTGAGAAAACACTTCCATAAGATCCAGTTGTAGGGCATTTTCAAATTAGTGGTTGATGTAGGAGGGTCAGCCCATTGTGGGTGCTGCCACTACTGGACTGGTGGTCCTGGGTTCTATAAGATATGGAAGCAAGCCAGTAAGTAGCATCCATCTATGCCTTCTGCATCAGTTCTTGCCTCCAGGAACCTACGTTGTTTGAGTTCCTGTCTTGACTTCCTTCAGTGGTGAACAGTGCTGTGGAAGTATAAGTCAAATAAACTCTTTCTTAGTTAAGTTTCTTTGGTCATGGTGTTTCATCACAGCAGTAGTAATCCTAACCAAGACATCCGACAAGGATATATAGTTCGTGGTCAATCCAAACAGACTGTGTCTGCTCAAAGACACCCCCCACCCACCCACTGATGGACTTATAAAATCTGCTTGCTTTATCACCATTTTTGCTTTTCTCTGTACCCCAAGAGGTAGTAGTTTGATCCCCAATAAGTCTGTCTTTCTACCCACAGTGGTCTAGTTTAGTGGTTTCACTGTACCCTTGCTTATAGTAAGAAGCTTAATTAACATAATCGGCAGTGAACAGAAACATTTACAGTAGATTTTAAAGTGATTCAGAATAGCTATAAGGAAATACTTCAAAAACTTCACTCCATTGAGTTGGAAAATGTAAAAGAAATAGATTTCCAGATTCAGTCAAACCATCAAAATTAAATCAAGAAGCCAACACCCTAAACAAACACAAATGAGGAGATTCAAACAATATTAAAAAGCCTTAAAGTTTAGAAAAAAATTCAAATGGATTCACAGTATAATTCTACCATACTTTCAAAGATTTACAATCTTTCTATACTGTACAACAACAACAAAAGAAAATAGAGCATTCCCTAACTCCTTCTATGAAGGCAGTATCTGTATAATATCAAAACCTCATAACACAACAACAAAAGAAACCTAAAGACCAATATCTTTGACAAACATAGGTTCAAAAATAGAAAATTTCAATAAAATAGCTGCAAATAGACATTCAAATTTTTAGAACATGCTGATTTTATTCAAGAGAGGCACAGATGTTTCAACATATATAAGACATTAAGTGTCAAAAGCCACATAAATTGACTTAATGATAAAAGTAATTTGATCATTATGGATGTAGAAAAAGACTTGAACAAAATCCAATATGCCTTTATGATAAAAGTTCTAGAAAGGGTAAGACTAGAGGGAACATATGAAAGTATAATAAAAGCTACATATGAAAAACACACAGTGAAAATCACCACAAATGAAAAATTTGGGTCAATACCACTGAAGTCAGATAGGAATGGGGTGCATTCTCACCCAAACCACCTTATACATAAGCCAAAGTGCAAGTGTGCATATACCAAATAAGAATCATTTCTCTTAAACATTTTTTCCTTGCCCATTTCCTACCATAACAATGCCTTCCTGAAAATGCATGAACTTTCTGAGTTTTTTTGCTTTTTTATTTTGTCAAAATGTACAAAACATGGTGGAGATAAGATATTTATAATATATATGTATATACATACACATATATATGTATATGTATATAATACACATGTATATATAACATGTATTATTCATGTAAAATCTTTAACTTCACTGTAACATGTGTTCTCATTAATGTTTCTGGAATTACATTGTATAGATGATGAGGCCAAATCACAGAAAGATGAAGATTCAAATGAAGTCACTGAGGTTGGTTTAATGTTTTTGTTTTTCACAAAAAGCTTTGCATGCTGTAGCTGCTGTAAACTTTTTTTCAGTCATAGAACTAATTAAACCTTTAATTTATCACTTGTTATCAAATATCCCTGACTCTGCTTGAATATAAAAGTTGAATTATTTATTATTTAGAATTTGTAGGAATTTTTAATTAAAATAGAATTAATTTATTTTCTCCAGCTCTTTCCAGATTTCCTTCCTACAGCATGTGTGAGTGCAAGTACACACACACACACACACACACACACACACACACACACACACACATACACACCTATAATCTGTTGAGTCTTTTTGTTGTTTGGAGGTCAGGGCTGACAACTTTATATTGGCTAACTAATAAGATGGTCCATCCCTGAGAGATATATCCCATTAGTTGCCAATAGTTCTTTGTGTAAGGCTGGGACAGTGTGGGATATTCTCCTTCTAGGTAAGCATGCCTATTAGTAGTACCAATGTCCTAATTTAGTTTATGCAGCTGTTTCTATGATACTGTTTTATAGAAGAGTTCCTGATATTCTGTCTCTTACAGTTTTACTGTCCCTGTTCCTCAATGTTCCTTGAGCCATGAATTCAGGAGCTATAACATAGATTATGCATTTTGTGTGGGCTTCCCACAACTGATCATCTCTGCACTGTGTTCCATTGTGGTTTTGCTGATGGGTTCCATTTGTTGTGAAGAAAGGCTTCTTTGACTTTATCTGTGGGTTTTAGAATAGGATTTAGAATGCAGCTAGGAATTATGCTGGTTTAGTCAAGTGGGAGATCCTCTCCTTAGATTCATGATCTGAATGTTGACTGCGTTTTTATTATCAGGCATGATTTCCCACCTGTTGGGTGAGCTGTAAAACTCATTAGATAGCCATTCATTATCACCAAAATGTGAGATCCACTTAGTGCAGTCTAGCTTTCATAGTTCCAGAAAAATACTATGGAAGATGTCAAGGGAGGGAAGCAACACCTGCAACACCTATGAGCCACAACTATGTCCAGAATGACTAAAACTTAATCTATGTTAGATTCTCATTGGATTTTTTGTGGAATATTTGTTTAACTAGGCAAAAGTGTTCTACGTTTTTTTTATGCTACACTTGATTAACTATATAAACATTTGTGTTAATTAAATAAAATTAACCTGGGCTCAGAGGGTGTTGGTTAGTAATTAGCGGACAGGAAGTAGCAGGGAGGAGCATAGCATGGGTGGTGTGGAAGGAGAGAGCTTCAGGGGATGTCTACAAGTGTGACAGCTCTGAAGGGAAAAGGTATCCTGGTAGTTGGATGCCGAAGAATACCTTTAGCTCAGAAGGGAAAGGTATTCTGGCAGTCAGAAACCAAGGATTACCTACAGAAGTATTTCAGCTCTATTCCAGTGAGGAACAGTTTCCCCAGCTAAGTGTTATGGTCCTTGCTCTGGGAAAGTTTTCCCTAATGCTAGTATAACAACTCTGCTCCAGCAGGGGGTGATTTTCCCAAGTGAGGTTGTTACAGCTCTGCTCTGCTCTTCTCTGCTCCAGAGAAATGTTACAGCTCTGCTCAGTTTCCCAGAATGTACCAAATCAGCTCCAGCAAGAGAAAGTATCCCCCAGCCAAGGTGTTACAGTTTTTCTTTGCAGAAGGTGTGGCCAAGGCTGGAATTGGATTAATGGATGCAAACCAACAAGGGACAAGCAAAGTAATTCTTTGTCATTGGGAAATGTCCTGCGAGGCCTCCTGCGGGCCCCAACATCATATTTGGTTCAATCATTCCCTGCCAGCACTGGGGAAACCCCTCCACAGAGCAATTAAAAGATTTACTAAAACCACACTGCTGTAGATGACAAAATAATATCATTAGGTAAAACAAGATTTTCAGGAGAAACCATAAAGCAAGTATTTTGGCAAACTTCTACAGATTATCAAAGACCAAAGCTAAAAATATGAATAATTAGCAGAGAGATTGAAGGTTTGATAGACACAGGCACAGATGCAACAATAATTGCACCAAAATCTTGGCATCCCAGTTGGCCTCTTCAGGAGTTAAATGTTCAGCTTTTAGGGATTGGAACTTTATATTATGTAAAACAAAGTGGCAGTGCAGGGTGGTTCAAGTGTATAGAGCCAGAAGAACAGACAGGTAAATTAAAACCATATATGGCTAACATAGTAATGAATTTATAGTGTTATAATTTGTTGCAGCAATGGAAAACATAGATTAACCTTACCCCTGATCTCAGGAACAAACCATAAAGTAAAGAATGCTTGTGAGAGAAATATTGAAAGGTATTATCAAGGAAGGTTAGATGCAAAGATATTTTTTTCTGAAAAGAAATAGGGGGATATAGGAGGGATAGGATAGAAGGGTAGATTATTGAATCTACTTTAAGCTAAAAAGCAACTGTTAATCTCAAATATTTTGCATTGGTATGGATTTTTGTATATTGATGCAAATTTAAGATTATTTTTGTTATAACATAGTGTATATGTGTTTCTACTTTTGTTTAAGGAATTTTTGTATATTAATATAAATTTAAGGTTATTCTTTGTTGCAACATACTGTATATATATTTTTACTCTTAAGGTGCTGTTCCTAAGTATTTCATTTAAAAAATGTAAATGTAAACATCTAATCATTGAAAGCTATTATGATAAACCATTTAGAATAATTAAGAAATGCAGGTTAGTAGTCATCTATAACAATCAAACTTGTAGTTATGTTAGGTATATTTTCAAGATCATTCAGAGCTATTTTTTAAAGTCTTCAAACACTTCAAAGAGCTACAGAATATATCAATTAAAATGTTTTGTCATGACAGTGATAGACACATATGTTCCTGGCAGCACCAATCACAAAAAGATAATGGGCATTGAAGTACCTTCATATGATGTTTGCTTTTAATGTGTCAAAGCTAGCAAATTAGGCAAAAAAGTGTCCTTGCCTCAATTGATGACAGTGTGATGAACATGCAGGACAAAAAGAAATGAGACTGCTAAACTTTGCCAAAACAAGGTAAAACAGTCCTTCCAAATTCTTGCTTCATAGAAAAGTCTGCCAGTATTCTAGACTTGTAGGCTGAAGATGGATGCCCGAACATTGAAGATGAAACTTGGGTGATTGTCCAGGCAGCCGGATATCTCTGTCATTTCTATAGCTTTGTAAATTGCTTGCTGTGACCTTTTTGTTTACTTAGATAATATGTCTTCCTGGAGTCTTTGATGAAATCGAAGGCTACATAGTCATAGATATAGTTTTACTTAGTTATGATAGAAGGTAAATTAGATACAGAACTTTGGGCTCATCAAGATATGATAGATAATAGAGTGAGTTCTCCAAATTTGCCAAATACAAAGTGACTGGATATTATAAATGTAATTCTTTCTTGATAACTCTTCTTATTATGTATAGTTTTACCATGTTAAGGTTAAAATCTTTCTTTTTATTTAGACAAAAAGGGGGGGGGATGCTGTGAATTATTTGGTTACCTAGGCAAAGATGTGTTATGGTACATGTGTTTATGTTGCAATTGTGTTAATTAAATAAAAACCTGGGCTCAGAGAGGGCAGGTTAGCAACTAGTTGACAGAAAGTAGCAGGGAGGAACGTTGTGTGGGCTTCTTTATTTGGGTCAGGAGTGAGGCTTCAACAGCTAAGACAGAAAGCTAGTTCATTTGTGATTCTAATTCTCTTAGCTTTCATTCAGGTTTCCACCCACGCCATTGAATCTCAAGTTTTATTAGAATAATATCTTTAGTGGCATCAAGAGAGCCTTTGTCTGGGGGAACAGAATCCCCCCCCCAGGATATGGTGTGAGTAGCCAGGATGCTAGTCATTTAATGCACAGTCACCGTAAGAAGGAGAAACAGTGGGATTGTATCTATGACTTGATAGAGTCCAAATACTTTGTCTTAGTGACTGGACCATTGAGTGAAAGAGAGGATGACAGAAGAAATACACTTTTTGAAGTTTTTTTTTTGTTGTTTTTCATGATAGGAAGAAGCAACACAGCAGCCATTAGGAAAAGGTAACCACGGGCCTCCTTGTAAACAAACAGATAATGATGACTTCACTTAGGTAGTGGTGGGGATAGCGACAACAAAAAAGATAAATTTGAAAATGTGTATTAGAATTGTCTTATGCTTAAGTACTCTTATAAAAACTGCAAGTGTGGTTGTCTCCATATAATCTTTGTGACCTTAAAATTTTCTCTTTCTAGCTTTTAAGTACAGCAATACATTTCTAAAGAAGAATAAATTGCCTAAAAACTTGTTTTACTGTTTTGTTTTTAGCAAAATACATGAACATGAAAGTGTAGTGATATGATACACATGTCAATATCCATAATTTTTAAAATATATATTAACTTGATTCTAAATAATATTCCCATTAATGTTTCTATGATTGTTGTATAGATAAAACAGCCTTATCAGCTGTTGAAGATTCAACTGAAGACTCTGAGGTTTGTTTATTTCCTTTTTGAAGCTATGAATGATGTACCTCACTAAATACATTTCATTCATAAATTTCAATTCACTCATAGATGCAATGAATTAATGTTTTACTATCTCACTTGTTAGCAAATATCACTAAATATTTCAATACAGAAATTAATCTCTTTTTTTCTTCAGCTTCTGATAGGATGGTGTCTAAAACTTGATAGACTGTAAATATCTTTACCTTAGTGGCTGATACAGTGAGTGAGTGATGGAGAATGACAGAGATACAACTTCTTTTTTTTTTTTTTTTGTGGATTCTTTATTTTATTTTTTATTTTATTTTATTTTATATAACAGTCCAATTAAATGAAAACAAACAATTATACACAATATTTGGGAATTTGGGCGTCGTTCTTTCCAAACTACTTCCTGCTGGTAAGGGGCGCTGTCTTGGGGGATTGGAAGAAGATTCAGATATCCTGGCTGTAGTCTGTAGGGCTGTTTTGTCCAGCTGTTTTGAATGTAAGATCAGCTTGTACAGAGATACAACTTCTATTGATATATATATATATATATATATATATATATATATATATATATATATCTTGTTTTTCATTACAGGAAGAAGCAGGAAAGCAGCAAATAGGAAACAGTAACAAAGGGAGTCATTGCCAGAGAACAAATAATGGTAATTTCAGTTATGCTCATAACAATAATTAAATTATGTAGTTGCATATGTGTATATAATATTTTATGCTCAAGTACACTTATAACAAGTGCACATATGCATATTCCCAAACAAGCATAATTTTTTAAAGTATTATGTTCTTGTCCACTTCCTACTACAATGATTTCTTCCTCAAAATGTTTGAATTATCTGAAATTTTGTCTTGCTGTTTTATTTCTTCAAGACATACAAATATCAATATAATATATGCAAACTTACATGAGTATAAATTCACTGTAAATTTAATATTCTCATTAATGGCTCTGTTACTACATTGTTTAGATAAGAAGTTATCACAGACATTTGAAGATTCGAGTAACAACTCTGAGGTTTGTCCAATTCTTTTGTTTTGTGTAAAAAAAAAAAAAAAAGCTTTGAATGATGTGTTTGTGCTAAATTTATTTCAGTGGAACTAGTGACTTATTTCTTTAATTTCTCCTTTGCTATCATATACCACTTATTCTACTATAATATAGAAATTAGGCCATTTAAATTTTTATGCATTTTAAATTAAAATAGTATTTCACTACTTCCTCTTGTCTTTCATCCCCTCCTAGTTCTCCTCCCTCCTACCCGTTCCATGCCCACGCCCCTACACACGCATAAACACACACACACACAGAGAGAGAGAGAGAGAGAGAGAGAGAGAGAGAGAGAGAGAGAGAGAGTGCCACTATTGCTATCTAGCTTCCTCAGCACCAGAAAATACTATATAAGCTGCCAAGGGACAGAAGCAGTTAATAATCCTAGCCATTTGTAACATATATGAACCATAATAGTGATTAGCTTGGCAGTATAACTTCATTTTTCTTCAGTGTTTTACAGGGTGATGCCCATAACTTGATAGAGTGTTAATGTTTGCCTAAGTGACTGATAACAGTGAGTGAGTGATAGAGAGAATGAAAAAAGATGTATAATTTCTGAAGTTGTGGGGTTTGTTTTGTTTTTTTATGACAGGAAGAAGAAAGAAAGCATTTGATTGGAAAAATCAACCAAGAGAACTCTAGTAAGCAAACAAATAATAACACTTACTAACAGTAATCATAGGGATAACAGTACCAATGATGATAAATTTGCAGATAGACATGAAAATTGTTTTATGCTCAAGCACTACTAAAGTTGTGCATGTCCCCAAACATCATTTCTATTAAATATTTTTCTCTTACCCACTTCTTACTGTAAAAATGCCTTCCTGAAATAGCTTCAATTTTTGTCTTGCTGCTTTATATTATTGAAATACAGAAATATTAAAATGTAAAAGAAAAGTATATGTAAATGTATGTAAGTATTTATCTGTAATCCCACTATAATAAATATTCTCATTAAGTTTTCTGTGACTGCACCATATAGATCAGAAGTCCATATTACAGAAATTTGAAGATTCAAGCGATGACTCTGAGGTTTGTTCAAAGCTCTTTTCAGTTTTGAGAAAATGTTTTGAATGTGTTCTAACAGGAATGTTGCTCTGGCTTCACTCCATTACCCATTCCTTGTCCAGAGGGAGCATTGTCCCCTGCTTAATACCTATATGTTTATACCCATACACCTTAACACCTATATGTGCTAGAGCCACTTGTGCTGCATTGTTTTTCTCTGATATCGGTAGCATCTAGTGAATGAAGCTGTCAGAGTTTTAATCCAATCCTCTCAGGCACAAGAACCAACTCGACACACTGAAACTAAGTTTACCTGAACATTAAATAACTTCCAGGGTCGTCTAGTGTTGCATATGAACAGGATGTTAACACATAGTATGCAGTCCTAAGGATATTTAGAAAGAGTCTTGCAACATAGGGTTTTGTATCATGGAAATTTAGAAACTGGTGATGGGGTTGAAATTAATTAGTATGATTGAATTGTCAAATATAGACAGGCAAGGAAATATTCACAAACGGAAAGCATATGGCCATATAGGTGTGCATACAGTTTGGTTTCATATTATTTAGATTATGCAAATAGTTTTTAGAACAAAGCAGATTACCTTACCTTTGTGTGAACAGTGAGCATCACAGGCTTTATACCACAAACTCATGTTCTATTCAGGCATTGTGGGAAGGGTTGTATTAATGTCCCTTCTGGATAAAATTAACTCCCAGATAGTTATCTCAGCATACAGCTGAAGCCTCAATATGCCACAATGTTTTGGATCTTTCACTTAGTAGCTAGATTTTTTTTTTTTTTTTTTTTGCTTTCTTTAAATAAGAGAGACTTTACTATATTTTACAAAAGATTGCAACGTTTACATTTTGGCATGTATAGTATTCTTTGAATTTGTCTTTTGTTTGTATGCAGTACTTTGTACTGTGAGGCCTCTTAATGCTCCACCTCTTTTCCCTTTGAAGTAGTTTTCTCATTGGAAGCATTCTAAATATTAATGATGCCCCCAAACACTAGCACTTTTGAACCATTTTAGAAAGGTGATTTTGTAAGTGTCCTCAGTTTGTTCCTTGTTGAAATAGTCACATCTGGTAATATTTTGCGATTTGGTGCTGTATAGCTTTCCACAGTCAGTTTTCATAGTCACTGTGCATATGAAGATAAAATTCATCCAACAACATATATGAGGTTCTGGATTCAAATGTTTTCTTTTAAATTTTATTATAGCAGGTTAAAAAAATTTCCAAGTCTTTCTAGAATAAAAGTTCAGATAATTTCTTAGAAACTTGTTAACAGTTTTGATGCTTACCGTAACAGAGTATTTTTGAATGCCTTGCCAAGAAGGGTAGTGATCACTTCCATGGGTCTGAAGATCAGTCAGAAGATGAGCATATCAAAGGTAAGAACCGAACATCACTTAAAAATCCACTTGATGAAATATTTGCTTAAGGTAGAAACATTGGTAAGTGATTGAACTCAAAGTATATTATCACTGTTGCATCATGGGCTTCAAGAGAGAGAAAGGGAGGGAGGAAGAAGGGAGAGAGGGAGGAAGGGAAAGAAGGAAGAAAAAGATGAGGAGGGGAGGAGAAAGAGAAGAAGGGGAAGAAGAAGGAGGAGAAGGAGGAGGAGGAGGAGGAGAAGTGGAAGAAGAAGGAGGAGAAGGAGGAAGAGGAGGAGGAGAAGAAGAAGAAAAGAGAGATTAGAGTTGGAGATAACAACCACTCAGTTCTGTTCCTCACACCTCTAGGTCATCAGAGAAGTTGGCTGACTAACCTTATATATTCAGGTGAGGTTAATTTGAAGAAGACTCTGTCACAGTTTTTGAGGTTATTCTTTTGATAAAGGAATGTCTTTTTGCTTTAAGGGATGACATGATATTTAAAGGTATGCATGCAAAATACATAATAGTGTACATTTATTGAATACTGAAATTTTTTTCACAGTCCATATTGCACTATTCTGAAATGCAGCAGTGTGTCAAAATCTAACAATTGCATGCAAATTCAATTTTATAATCACATTTTAATTATTTTCTACTTTTTGCCTTTTTAAATTTAGTTGAATTTTTTTTCATACACTATGTTCTGATCAGAATAATTTCCTACTTTGGACTTAGTTTCTTTTCACAGGAAGGGTCAATAAAATTTAAGGTATCTAAATTAGAGGGAAAGTACAGTCATACAAATACTACATGAATGCATGTAAAATAAACATACTTTATTAATTTTCTGTAACTAAACGTTTAACCAGTTGAGAAACACTTTCATGATATTAAACAAATCATACGTGTCATTAAACAGTTATCACCAAATTATGTGATTCCTAATTTACAGAACAAATTGGAGAATGAGGTATAATTGATTAAAAAATATTTCATAAAGTATCTATCCTCTGTCATTCTTGGATTAGCTTTGAGAGTTCAGATGTCATCGCAAAGTTTAGGTGTTTTTTAGATGCCATATTTCTTTCCATCAACCGACATAACTGCATTTGGATATCTCCTTTTAACATTTCAGTTGTACTTAATGTAATCATAACCTGTCATTGAAGAACCTACCTTCATGTTTTATTAAAATTAAAAATAGATTTCACTCCAGGATAAAAGCAAAACAAAACTAAACAATAAACAACCCGTGTTTCTCCCAGTCTAAATCATTACTTAGTTATTTCTAAAGGTAGCATGAAGCTTTAATTGCAGTGACATAAGTTTGTTTTGATGAATTCATATAAAAATGTTATATTTTTTGGTATTTAGAGTCTCCAATGAAGTATCCTCTTTTTAAGGTAATTACTCATAATTATTCACAAAGTGTTAGTAAGTGCACCATGTACTCAGTACAGTGACCACTAAACATTTTGTTTCCAACTCATGTAGCCCACCGTTGAAGAGAAAGACTTGGATCCAAAAAATGCATTA